TTTATCTATAATTTATAATTTAATTTAATTATAATTTATTTATTTTGATTTAATTTTTTATTTAACTACTAAAATATTCACTGGGTCTGCTAGTCAGATGATAAAAATTTGTCAAATTTGGACAATATGTTTTATAAAAAAAATGCAAACAAAGAAGATATCGCAAAAAATGGATTACAATTAATCAAATATATTTATAAATGTAAAAATGACAATATAACACTGAATCAATTAAGATTTCGAAAATCAATTGGCAAGAATTAAATCATCTTTCATATTGACAAATCTCCCACCAACAGAAGGCGTTTGTTTCATGGATTTTAAATTTTTGAGTTTATCAGTGTAACATGGAATCTTACTTTTTTCGAGTAATTAAAGTGTAAATTTTAATAAATAGCTCAAAATTTTACATGATTAAAAAAAATCGAATTCGAGTTTTTCGTTTTTTTGGATTTCCTGTGAAAATTTGCCAAAGTAATGTATACTTTTTTTACACCATCAGAAAGTAGAGATTTCAACGAACAAAAAGCACACCGATTTTTAAAAAAAAACAAACATTTTGACGTCAGAATTTTCGATTGAAAATTAGGGTGGTTTTTCGATATTAAATCAAAATAAGGGAGAAAAATAAATATTTTGAATAAAAAAAAATACAGTAATTTTGGGACATAAATAGATAAGTTTTCACCAAATTTCGTAAAAAAAAAACTTTTTTGTGGGAGATAAAAATAAAAAACCAAAAACTCGGTTATTTGCATTTTTCGCATAAATTTTGAGGTTATTTAAAAAAAATCTAAATACAAAAGATGTAGATCCTTTTATTACCTAGAACTTTGCCATTTAACTTTTTTCGATAGGACTTGTAGTTTTGCCGGAAATCGTGATAAACCGTTTTCTACCTTTAAAAGCTCACCCTCTTCGACTTCCCGACCTCAGATCGCCCGTAAATTATTTTTCCTTTTATTCTTGTTATATTTTCATCCTTTTCCAATGGGTATCATCCTGTTCTAAATTTTTTTGATCTCAAAAATTACACTGGTCAACAAAATTTAATTTTTTCTCTCTAACTTTGACATAATTGTAATATTTTCGTTTAATTTGTCTCTGTGTTTGTGACAAAGAGCATAAATCTTATAACTTAGCTCAATTAAAAAAAATATGCATATTTGATGTTTGAAACACAAAATCAGGTAAAACAATTTAATTTTTGTATCTTTAACGGCAAAAAGTGTAGTATTAACAAAAAAACAACCTTAAATGAGAAAAAAACAACGAATGTAGTTTAAAAAACGAAAAAACAAAAGAAACAGCGAAGACCGACGTTTTTTCGGTTGCCTCCTATAGATTTTATTGGAGACCTCTCGCTCGATGGTCCCGCAGCATTCTGCGAGCATTTAGGTGTCATTTAGGTGTTCCATCGATCTTGGTAACGTTTTTCTATCGACAAAATGCCCAGATGGATGCGTTCTCTATGACGGTCACTCACGTCGTCACAATTTTTGGGGAAAAAATCAAGGTGCGAGTGTATAAAATGCACTTTTAAGAATATGTTAATTTTAAATTTTTTATATGATGATAACATGTCTTCTACTTACTAAACATAGTTTTCTTATTGTTTCCCAAGAAGTTTGTAGCAATTTGATTACAAAAAAATACACCTTAGAGAAAGTTTCCTATTACTTAATAGTACGATTTTTGTATTTTTCAAAGGATAATATTTTAAGATTACTTTTAAATGAGAGCTAAGTTTTGGTTTAGCCCTTTATAATATCATTTAAAATTGCTAATTAAATAATAATTGACTGCTATAATAAAAGTTAGAGCTTAGCTGTTGACCAGTGATCGGCCCTGACCTATTAGACAATATGGTTAATGACTAATGTTTCAGGTATTATGCATAATTCCTGTTCCTCTGTTAGTTATTATCAATATTACCTAAACGTTTCCGTTATTGTGCATAATAACTGAAAAATTCAGTTATTACGCATAATTCCTAATGTTTCCGGTTATTATGCATAATAACTGACAAGTTTAGTTATTACGCATAATTCCTAAAATATCTAGTTATTATGCAGAATAACGTATTTCGGATATTAAGGGTGTGGGGACAAAAAATCTGCACAAATTTTAATTTACCGAAAATCGAGTTAGCTTTGAGAAAAATGACGGTTGACGTTATGACATTTTTTGGCAGTTATTAAAAATTGTTATGCCTAGTTCCTCTTGAAAGTTTCAATATTTTTTGTAATAATGGAAGACTTAAATGAAAATGATCGCCGATCTGTGATTGCCAAATTTTATAGAAAGCATATGCATTTAAAAAAGTCATTCACCGTTAATCACTTCTTCCAAATAGGGATATAAAAAAGGACAACTTATAGCATTTGCAGAAGAGTAGAGAATGGGAATTCGGTAGAAAGACAAGTAGGAAGCGGAAGACCAGCAAGAAAAATGCCCCAGAAGAAGAGAGAAGCCTTAGTCAATCAAAGTCACGGTAAACTTGGTGTTTCACTAAGAAAGCTTGGACGGAAATTTAAAATCGACAAAAAGTATGTTAGCAACATATTAAAGGAGAATAATATTAAACTTGCAACTCGAAAATCCGCTCCCAAATATTCAGAAAAACAAAAGTTGGAACAAAAACGAAAATTAAGGCATCTTTCTGAATCCGCTTTTTTTCCCTCAAATGGTACTGAAATAATCATCGATGACGAATCCTACTTCACTTTTGATGGTAGCGATACTGCTAACAATAAACATTTCTATTGTAAGGAAGGAGAAGAAGTAGATGGGAAAGTGAAATTCAAACGTCACAAAAAATTTCAGTCCAAGTTGTTGGTCTGGTTGGCCATTTCTTCACGTGGACATTCTACTGCGTTTATTTGCCCATCTGGAAATTCTGTTAATGCAGATATTTATGAAAAATAGTGCATTAGGTCTCGACTTGTCCGTTTTATAAGAGAAAAGCATTCAGATGGCAATTTTGTATTTTGTCCAGACATGGCAACAGCTCATTACGCAGCTAACGTTATTGCTGCATATAATTAGTTAAACATTCCTTTTATCCCTAAGGATAAAAATGTTCCGAACGTACCTCAACTACGCCCAATTGAACGTTTTTGGAGAAATCTAAAGAGGAATGTGTACGAAAATGGATGGGAAGCCTCGACACATGCAGAATTAAAGAAGCGTATACTGCTGAAAATACGGCAAACAAAAATATCGGCTTTTACAAATTTAATGCGCCGTATTAAAACAAAAATTCGTAAAGCAAGCAGATATGGTGCAGATTGTGTTCTTTAAAGTTGTTTTTATAAATGTTTTTGATCACATTATTAATACATGCTTTTATAATACAGTTATTCTAGTTTGAAATTTGTGCAGATTTTTTGTCCCCACACCCTTAGCTGTAACATATATATGAAACTCTAGTTTTTCTGGTCCAACCAGACGATCAGTTTAGTAAAAGTTGGAGGGGTTTTAGATAATAATATGTGATTAGCAGCTCGTTCAGACACAAACGCAATAAGTAATTCCATCTATGAAACAGTGTGTAGTCAAATTATAAGCACTGTTGTCGGAATTTTATGGATCCTTGAATTTCATTCAGATGTCACATTTCTCCTTTGTTGGTGTTAAAAAAATCAAATTATATTTAGTCATGAATACATGAATACTGGCATTTAACAGGGTTGTCATTTATAACAAACTTACTTTCTATGTAGAGAAATGCATTTTCTCAACATTTAACTAAGAGTGTACTTACGTATTTGCTGGTGGTGCTCTGCAATAATGGGACTCCACGTGGGGAAGCTTTCGATATGCTTTCATACATCTAAATCTTCAGTACCTACACTTTTCTTTGAATGTTTCCTTTTAGAAAGGATTTCTGCAATTCTAATTTCGGGTTTAACATAACCAAAAAACAAAAAATCTCGGCAAACTTGTACTTTCTTTCCTGATACTTCAAAGTACGTAATATTTAAAAAGTTTTCGTTTTTACAAAACCTCTTCCCTTTCTCTCTTTAACAAGCCTTCCTCTTGGTCTCATCCTACCTTTGAACAAATTTTCCATACCAATCATTTTTCTGTTCATCATTCAGCGACCAAAATGGTTCAAAAATTAATTCCTTGTTCTTTACATCCTAACATGTAATGTTTCAAACATTTTGGCCTTATGAGTTTCCCACTTTTTACCGACGTACTCTTGTACACACAATTTTTTCACGTTGTTTCTCCATTTTTTTGGATTTCTTTTTCGTTTTCCAGTCGCCACAACTTTTTCTGTGGGTTCAATTAGAAAATAACGTCTTTTTAACACAGTCATTGTTTTGAATAGTGATAACCAGATAAAAAGGCGTAAAAGCATTTCGTTTCCATGGTAATTTCAAACTAATGGGTGGTCAGTTAAAAAAGTCATCAGGTTGGCCTTGTTTTTTGATAGAAAAAATTGGAGCAAAAATCATTTGCGTTTTATTAATCCATACTGTTGTGTATCATTGTCATTTGCCAGACTTGTTGAAAAACGTTATTTTTATTATACGAAAAACTGAGGTTATTGTAGACATACTCCACAATATTTGCAAAAAATCAAGGCCAACTTGATGACTCCAACTGAATACCTGATATGTAGAATAACGGCGACTACATAAAACTGCCAAAAAATCATTCAATTCGCACAATATTTCACTCTGAATCATAAGAGAGCGGTTTTTCAGGATGAATAACGCACAATGTTTGTGTCATTATGCCCACATTTGTATACAAACCCAATCTTAGTACATATGCTTAAGACATATAAGTGCTTAATTTGTGTCTTCGTCTCCGTGTAACAAGTAAATTATACAAACAATAAACCAAGTAATAAAACAATTTTTTGCAATTAAATAATTTTGAAAAACTAGACTACAAAATGTGGTATTTTTGCATACGCTGTTTCCGAAAACAGCTTAATTTTATGTAGATCAACCAAGCACCAAGGTAACGAATTACTTAATATCTTTCTGCAGCGATAGGTATTCATTGCCAAGGTGTACACTGCATTCGTTGCTTTGAGTATCACAAGTCGAAACATATAAATTTCTCAACTATAATACCGAGTAGTTGTTTTTCAGCTTGAAACGGTGTATTACGTTAATCACAACATGCGCTCTATAGTTATGAAGGTTTTCGTGTTTGGCACATTATTTACACTGGTATATTCAGCTGCAAATGATCTTCGTAAGTATACATTATTATTTTTGTTGTAATTAATTGAAATTTTAATTGAAATTAGTAGTTCTTACGCAGTTTATGATTGTTGCTTAAGTATTTACTTTCTAATAGTTTGCTCTAATATGTGATAAATACCGTGTGTGTAAAAAAAGAATAGGTCCGTAGCGGTCTTAATTTTCGAGCGCAGCATTGTCTGAAATGTTTAATTAAATTGTTTGAAATATACGACGACCTACCTACATTAATGTTTAATGTTTAATGTTAATGTATTTTTGTCTGCGACATTCAATTTTACGGGTTTTTTCAAATACACGATGTAACTATTCCTTTTGAACGAACCTGTAATCCTTGTTGATTGGTCATTCTAGAGAGCGGAAAATATGCACCAAAATTTTGAGAAATATGATCATATGATATGCACCAAATTTATGCAAATATGCAGTAACTTTCTTAATATAAGCAGAGATATGCAGATGCATATGCTCCAAAAATAAAAAAAAAGCGAACTAAATTTATTTATAAAATACAAAAACAGGGTTCCCGAGCTTACGTTTTATTACAAAAAATACAGAAATAACATTGCAAAGTGTTTAATTACATCTCACTAACACATAAATCACGTTTTTAAAGATAATATTCTTATACTAAAAAATAAATATAAATAGGACAAATTAAAAAATAGTAGTAATCCACTATTTAATTACTATTTTGGTAACAATTTATTTTTAGATTTTTTTCGAAATATTCTAACAAAAAGTTTTTCCGGTGATTCTAAATTAAGTATAAGTATTTGCAAATAGAAAAACTGCGTACTACGTCCACAGATGTAAAAATACTTACCGGTTTAGGGTAGGCGCGACAAAACACAGTTCGTTCTTGAAGAATAAGTTCAGGAAAAGGTTTAATCCATAAATTAATTTGAGTTCTCTTCGACATATTGATTCACCTGTATCCCTTTAAATGCTTTCAATACAAACTCACGATGAAAAATAATAGTATAACGTCCCTTAGACCACCACTTAACTAACGAACAAAAATTTTGGGAATGAACGGTATTTCCAAAAGTAATTAGGGCGCGAATTTACCTGGAAGAATGGCTTAATACCCAGTGGTGTTTCCAAATTACCATAAAACCCAAACCTTTCCTAGTTATTTGAAACTCAGGACAATATTTGCAATATGATTAATAAAATTTCGCCTTTCTAGATAAATTCCGATAGAATGACGATAATTTTTTTTTCAAATTAGTACAAAAATTGATAAAAATGCAAAATATGCACCCATTTGGTGAAATATGCAGCAGAAGGCAAATATATGCAAATATGCAATTTTTTTATAGCTGTATTCATTTTTAATTAGCATGATTCGTTCACATAGTAAATATCAAGACTTATATGCAAAAAATAACGAATATGCAAATTTCATAAAATCCGCTCTCTATCATTACGCTTTAATTGAGTGCTTTTAATATTTTATAATCACAAATAATTTCAAGATGCGATTAATTTTAAATGCAAGAAACATTGTAAAAGGAAAAATACATTTTGAAAATCCTTATGTAACTAATTTTAAAGATCTAGTTTTTTTTAATAATCAGTTATCTCTAGACTTTGCATATTTCAAAAGCAAATTTCTGAAGAGGGAAACACCCAAAAGTATTAATATTAATAGTTCGTCAGATTCAACTGCATTCTTACCGGGAACTGATTATACAGCGCTGTCCACGACTGATAATTACTCCGAATTAATTTAAAATGCAACCCAAAATGCATTGTACAGCTTTCGTTGATGCTTCTGTAAAAATTCTTGAAGCGTTAAATGTTCAGAATGCTGTTCTTCCCTTCTAAGACAAGAGTCGAGTCAGTTCCAGAAACACCGTTTCACGCGAATGGCAATTCGACGAATAGTGACAGAAACAGAAAGCTAGAAGAATGTTTTCTGGGTTACATTTCGAAAAAAGTCAGCCTCATTGTCAGTAGTGAACAACCCTGTATTTAAAAATTTGCAATTCTTGGTACTAAATAGAAAGCAAAAAGTTTGAGTTGCTATTGACATTTTAAATCGTACAAATCTCTTACCATCCTGATTCAAATAACTTTAAAGTTTACAATGACTTGTAAATTTCAGCTTCTTATTTCCCAAAGTGCAAACGTTATGATCCCAAACTCAACGAATGTCTAGTAAAAGCGACAGAAACTGTAAGACCTTTCCTCATAAAAGGTGTACCCGAACTGGGAATACCACCTATTGAACCATACACAATTCCAGAAATTACACTAGAGCAAGGTACTCAAGCTCTGAACTTTAAAGCTCTCTTGAAAGATGTTGAAGTACGTGGTTTAGGCAATTATAAATTTTCTCAGTTTGAGTAAGTATTTAACTAAAATGGATTATTTAATTTTGCTTTCAAAGTTTTGATGTTCCAGGACTGCAGTGGTTTTGCAAGGCTACCATTAATCCAATCAAATTAGTAGGTGATTATACCGTAACAGGAAAAATACTCTTAGCACCAATTGAAGGAAGTGGAAAATTCACGGCGGGCATAGGTTTTTTTTAACTTACAGATGAAGAAAAACTTTGACATATCATATTTTTTTGTAGAAAATTCTAATATAACCGCCTATCAGAAAGTCGAATTCTTTAAGAAGAAGGGGGTTACTTATGTGCGACCAGTTACTACTAACACTACTATTTCAGTAGGTGGACCAAAAGTCCACTTAGACGGCCTTTTTGGAGGAAACGAAGAACTGAGTAAGCTATCAATGTTATAATTTTATAGATAATTATCTGAATATTAAATAGTACTTCTAATAATAATTAGTAGGAACGATGCACAAAACAAAAATATATTTTCGTATCATTTTTATAATAATAAAGATTTATTAATTGAAATGCAGTTGTAAAATTTTAACAGCAATGCCATTTGATACTAAACACAAAATTTTGACAATGTCACTGTCAAAATTTTGTAAAAAAATCTTAGTGTTAATTTAGATTGTGGTTAAATATTAGACTAATATCTTTACGTCGATCGTCAAAGAACGTAAGCTGTAAACAATATTAACGCTAAAAGCAACATAATTTTTACCAAGTGCTTTCGATTCAAAGTCAAAGGATCTAGTTTTTTAAAGTGTGTTTCCTTATTTGACATTGAGAAAATGCTATAATTCTAAACAACTTTTTTTTAATCAACTGTCAAGTGAACTATTATTTGTCTGGTTTTGTGCAAGCAAAGTAAACAATAAAATAAACTTGTTTGTTATTGTTATTATATCTACCAAACAACGTGCAGAAGATAAACCAGTTGTTGTTAGTTGGTTGCAGTTCCGGTACTGAGAAAAATATACATTTTTTATGCGACCCTTTCGTTTGTTTTTTTTTGTCTTAAACGTTATAATTCAATATTTAAAAATTTTTATACAGAAATGTCTTTAGAAAAAATACTAGGTATGTTGTCTTAGTTGTTTTTATTACTGGTTTAAAATTTGTCAGCTAAATATCGAGATAACCAGTTACCTACTCCTTTTAGTGGACCTTGGTGGCAGAAACACTAAATCTGACAAAAATAAATAAAAATATCATCATCATCATATAAGTTGATCAAATATAATAGACAGCTTCTATAATAATTTGTTCCAACTATTCTTGGCTGCGTGTTGTTTTGTCATCATTATAAATAAATAACTACCTTTAACAAAATTTTTAATGTCTGTTAATTGGTCAACACTCGTTTGCATCATGAGAAAGACTTTGCTGTCTATTAATTGCCTCATTTGTCTTTTTTACAGATAAAGTGACCAACACCGTGATTAACGACAACGTCAATGAACTATTTGAAGATTTAAAACCTGTGATAGAAAAAATTATTACCAACGTCATAGAGCAATGGCTGTTCAAAGGACTTGAGGACAACGTGCCTTTTGATAAATTGTATCCTGAGAAATAGAAGAGTGTTATTTGAATATACAGAGTTATTCACGTGAAGCTCCACGCAAAAAAAAATCAAAATGCAACCAAGAATACATAACATGGTAGTGTCTCGCATTATGTCAACGTTGTTGCGATAAAACAGACAACCACGTTTCACTTTTTTGAAAAATGGAATGAAATGTTAAAGATGTTTTTTAGTGTATTTCTGGTTACGTCTTGCCCTTTTTCATTCGATGCGGCGTTTCTTGTGAACAACACTGTATAAAATATTTCTGTTTGCTAAAGTGCGTTTCGTACGTCACACAAATGAGTTTTTAAGATTTATTGTACTAAGTACTCCATGAGATCGCACGATTTTATTTAATCTAGAATATTCACGCGGACATACTAATTAAGTAAAAATCCATCAACATTTTATTAGCTTCGCAAAATAAACAAATAAGCATGCTTTGTTATCGCTGTTCTCTTTTAGCATTGAAGATTAATTTATTTATTACACAGAAAAAAATATTTTTACTACACATAAATTAAACGAGATTTTTATAATTAGATAAAAAAAATATAAATATGCAATTATAGGTAGTTATGTTACGTTGATTTGCAAAAAATATTTACGTTCAACTCGTATTACTTAAAAAAATAATCACGTAAATGTTCTCATGGTTATGCAAATAAGTAAGTATGTTAATATGTTTTGAAGATGTGTAACTATTATTAGTTCAACGGCTGTTCTTACCTTATCGTATTGAAAACTCTAAATTTTTAAGTAAAATAAGTATTTAAAATTAAATATAGGTAATTATTAATTATTTACCAATTGTTTGGTATTTACTTTATATACATATATTGTAAAAAACATACATAAATAAATGTTCTCATAAATTTGCTCAAGAGTTTACGTTACTGCCAATCACATTACTAATAATCTACCAAATAAAGATTGAATTACAACAAAATACACGCACACCCAAGAATAATAGTACAATAATTATCAACCAAAGCTCTATACGGATGTTCTGTTTTTAACAAAAAAAAACATGTAAACTAATTGGTTGGTAATAGCGTTTATTAGTTTTTAACGATAGACGTAGCTAATTATAATTAAATTCGACCTTGAAAGTAAGACGGTAGAGTCAAGCGTTTGGTGTAAGTAGGTACTACTCATTGGAGTATGTATAATTTCCCCAGTTCTAATTCGGTTTTATGATGTGTAAAAGTTAACTTCTTTAACAATATATTACTACTGCCGGTGATGGGACAATCATAAATAAGGATTTAACCATTATCCCCCATCACCGGCAGTAGTAATCTATTGTTAAGGAAGTTAACTTTTACACAATGGGGTACTATCATAAAACCGAATTAGAACTGAGGAAACTCTTTCTGTGATTGCGAAACAAAATAGAGTGTAATCTTCGAAGAATAGAATTGCTTCATTATGTGAATATGGGTCGTTGTAATTGAAAGTTTTCCATGTCTTCAGTTTATTTCTGAATATTGAACTAACTAGCTTTTTTGTAACAGAAGGTGTTAGTAGATCATAATTTCAGTAAAGCATTATATACAGATAATGTATCTTTTTCTTTATGTATAAAAAGGTCTATATAAATGATGTCGTTAGTTCGTTTTTACTTTATATCAGTACCTAAAGCAATAGGTATGTACTTATAATACCTGTAACCACTGCTGGTTATAAAAACCGACACAGACAGACCGACGATACACAACAGACAGGCAGACAGACGTACACGGGAGGCTTGTGTTTTCGTAATCTAGAGTCTAGAGGTAATGAAATGTAGAGAAAACATTACAATATTTCCTTAGTTTGCATTAGGGAAGTACGTATAATTCACTTGAAAGTTATATTTCTCAAAATTTAAAAACTACAATACCTCCAGGCCTGACTACGTTTAATGGCATCCTTGTTTACAAACCATGTTTTGGTGCAGTGTTTTTAATATTTTAAACAATATTATTCATGCTTGGTAAGTAAATATCTGATGTTTATTAACACTTATTAATGTATCCTAGCTAGGTTCTTTTGATTTAGAAAAAAAAGATATCTTCTGTCAAAATAAAAATTAGTTTCTTATATAAGGATGAAGAGGAAATAAAATTTCAAACAAATTTCTATTTGGGTTTTTCTAGTTAATGAAAACTACGAAGGTTTTTTAATATTCCAGTTATATAAAGTAATAATGTAAAGTAAATATACACAACCATCTAGATTTGATTTATCGAAACCGCTTCATTACAGGATAATTAAAATGTTAAACTATTCGCTTCTACACGCAGATTAAAGTTCATAAGCACTCAAGTGTTGGTTGGCACACAGATTTATTACAATAAGATATAATTCTTAGGATGTTGCTTGTAATCACATTATAGTTGACTATTGAAGTGATATGATATCGAGACTCAAATATTCTTATAATGACCAAGTTGCCCATGGAATAAGAAAATAAATCAAAAGTATTTCAAAACAAATGGAAAATTACATCCTGCTGCGAAAGCAGGATGTGTTTGTTTTCATATAATTTAAATCTGCATAAAAAATTTCAATGAAAACGAGAAAGCAGTTGTTATGACATTTCAGAAAATAATTCATCATCGTAAATGATTACTGTTTATTTGGTATTTGCAAATATCAATAAGAGTAACAGTCAATTTTTATTTACAAGCAAAGTGACATTTGAGAACACATATATCAAATAATTAGGTTTTACTAAATAAGTTGTTGACAAGTTTGGTCGAATCCAGTTAGTTTTGATGTTTATTAACATCAAACTTGGGAGAAGTAATTTTTTAGATAATAATCAATGGACAATAAACCTATACACGAAACACGAATTTCTTTGAGATATTTTCAACAAGATCAATCGTCTTGACCATATTTTTTTTTTTTTTTATTTTTTTTTTTTTTTGGTATCTTCACTAATGAACAAATTAAGCGTATTCTTAAAAACATATTTAATTCTTTTTTCTTCAAAGAAGTTGTCAAAACTCTACAAATAAACAGATTTTAATTTTACTATTAGTTCGACGGCTGTTGTTACCTTGTATTGAAAACTGTAAAGTTTTAAGCAAAATACTTAAGGTAAATTTTGGTGTTTACCCACTGTTTGATATTTTGCAAATAATAATAGCTACGACCTGGCGAATGGGAGACGCGGAAAAAAATTAGACCGCCACTCCTAAAGCTCGAAGTGGGTCATTTGAAAAAAAAATTGTACTTCATTTGCGCTCTTAAAAATGTCCTATTTCAACTTCCTCCGGATACGACACTAGGTAATATTCATGACAGTTGAAATTTAAGCTGAGATCGATCGCATGGCCTTTATAATTATCCTGTGAGTCAAGTTTGAGGTGATCTACGACCATGGTGAGGACTTATTCTTATTAGTATTAAAAATCTCAGTCAAGGCAATGAAGTGTTGTTTTTGAGGTTAATTGATGGATTTAATACGTAAGCTTTAGATCAAGGATGTATGTTTATGCATTTTCACTGTACCTAAAGTAGATGTCTGTAGACTGTAGACGTACTTTGTAACAAACGAAGTAGTGTGTTACTCGCTCAAGGTTAGTAATTTCTTACAAGTTGTTTAATCAAGTTTGTATTAGATTCCTGTCCGTTATATTTTTTTAAATTACTTTATACATACAGGATATCTCAATGGTAGGATGGTGGAAGGCGACACATTTCTCATAAATTATTGAAAACCTTCTTTGACACGATCTGAAAGAAATCAGATAGAATTACAATTCATTGAAAATTATTTTCAAAAATACAGACTTTTTCGTTTATACACTATATACTTAACAGAGTCTTTATTAAAAGTGGAGAAATATGGTATGAACATATTTTTCTGTTAAAATCTTAATTTTTCATTTTATTTAACAAGCTGAAGATGAGATTAGAGGTTTCTCGAAACATGTCCTTGTTTCAATAAAACACTTAATTCATAAATGTGGAGTTCGACCTCAAACTTTTTTATGTAGATTTGTTAGGTTTGTCCAAATAAAGCACAATTTGCATACATAATCAATTAATCAATTGTGTAAGTAGATAAATTTAAATCTCGTTCAGTTTCTATACGTATATCAAGACGAAAGGGTTTGGATAACGCAGTGTTCTTGCTAAACAGTTGTGTACAAAATTCCAAAGCAAACCTTCATTTTCTTCGGTGGAAGGGCAAATACCAGGAAAACTCTTACATCATATTATTTCCTGCTTCTTTTTGTTAGGCACATAGCTCTTTTAAAATACATAGGTGTTCCACTGAAAAAAAAAATCGAGTGGATAAACTATAAATAATGTAGCATTAAAAATAATTTTAAATTATATCCACAACCGAGTTTTATAGAAACGCACCAGATAAAAAATATTTTACACAACGTTATATGAACAGATTGAGAATTTTACTTAGGACGTCACATGTACGGAGAGAGCAATAAAACACACAATCAAAGACGCCCAGGGATTTGTGAAGATTTGTCTTTGATAGAATTTTCATCTTGTCGGATTACAGTCAATTTGAAAATTTGAATTTAACATGTAACAATCTACGACAAGTCTTCAAAAATCCATTACTACTTTTGATCGTATTTTTATTGCTTTCTCAGAACTTTTTGAAAATGAAATGATACATTTCTTCTTAAATTTGGGACAATTTGTCCACTAACGCAAAAAATGTGCAAATTGTCATCAAAATGTGTTTCTTTTTATTTTAGAAAATTAATAAATAGAAATGTATCGTGTAAAAAATTTAAATTTAAAAGACTTCAAAATTAATACATTAAAATAATGTGTGTTTATCTACTAGGAGTTTTAATATCCCGAAAGAATCGATCAACTGGGCTTTTATTTCCTAGATTTTAAAGTGATGTAATGTTAGTGAATGCATAGTATTCTCCGATTTATCGTACAATTATTTTAATAGTAGTTGTCAAGGGTAAGATTAAGGTTGTGCACATATAAGAAAAAGACTGCGCTTGACCTTTTTAGTTGCGTTTTAATTGTTGCAAAGAAAATGATGGGTGATTTAAAAAATATTTCGTTTATATTATTTACCGTCTTATGGATTACTTCATCAGAGGGATCACCAAAAAAATGGCGTAAGTAAACTCAACATTTTTCTCATTCTCCCATTCAAAAGTGCATTACTGAGACCTACAAAATAATTATAGTGGTGTATAAAATGTTGTAGACTTGCTTAGGCCGGAAGGCAGTGACATTGAAACTATTTAAAAGTTATTTTCAGAGATCCGCCCATTTAACCATTTTTTTTTAATCTGTATTAATAGACATTTTTTTAAATATTATAATAATATTAAGTTAACCAATTTAATTGAAAACGATGAGGAAATCACAGATGAAAGCCAAATAATTTTTCAGCTTCGCGATTTCCACGATGTTACAGAGACGATCCCAATATAAATAAGTGTATCTTAGAAGCAACGAAGAAAATGAAACCATTTTTACAACAAGGCATTCCCGAATTTAACATACCAACAATATCCCCATTCTTCGTTCCTGAAGTAACAATCCAACATGGCAGCAGAGGAGATTCAATAAATTATAAAGTTATGCTCAAGAACTTGCAAATATTTGGATTTGACACCTACAAATTTGATAAATTTGAGTAAGTATTATAAACTGAGCTAGAGATCGATTTATTTTGTACAACTGAACAGTCTTGAAAATCAAAGAACAAATTCGCATACATACTAAAGAAAAAAATATCTATTCTAGCCATCCTTACCGGCCGGAATAAACAACCTCAAATTCATTAAAGATGTAATATGCCCCTTGTGGTGTAATGGAAGTTTGTTCTGTAATTTTGGAATCATTCACCAATATAATTTACTTTTAACTATACATATTTAAATTTCTACAATGGTAAAATAACAAAAATATCTAAGAAAGTTTAAAACTACTCGTCCTCAAAAGTCGAGGTAACATATTCCGACCGGTATTACTGGTACTAGTTATCAAAATGGGTATCGCTTAATCAGTAGGTACCTATATGAGGCTTCATCCACTGATTTTAGTGACTGCTGAAATATACAAAGTATATCGGTCGCTAACTTGCTTTTATATAAAAATATTTTTAGTTTTGACGTGAAAAATTTACAATTTCAATCATCAATGAAAATGGATGCCATGTACCTAAAAGGACATTACATAGCAGATGGTAAAATTTTAAGTATACCGGTTAGTGGTAATGGAACAATGAGTTGCAACGTTAGTATGTAATAAATAATGCTTCTGACAATAAAATAAAAACATGTGATTTAAGCAAACACAAGTGGCACTCTCAAACAAGATGGTAAAATTGTTTTAAGAAAAGATAATATTAAATATTTGGAGCTAGAACCTCCAGTTATACATATCAACGTAGGAAAAATTCTTGACTACCATTATAACGGATTATTTGATGGAAATGAAGTGCTTGGTAAAATTTGATGTGCAATTAAAGTACGTTCTAAGTAAATTCATTGTAGCCAAGGCTGCCGAGAAAATTTTCAAAGACTATCAGGAAGAGCTGACCGAAGAAGTAAAACCGGCAATAGAAAAAATTATTGAAGAAATAGTGTATGATCTACAGAAGAAGACTACTTATAAAGTTCCATACGATGAATTATATCCTATCCACGGATAAAAACTATCTGCCATATTAAAAAAAAAAAAAGACACGATTAATTTACAGGGTACAAATCGGGATTCAATTTTCTATAAACATTACAATACTGATATTGAAACAATTGCAGAAATTTGCAACAATAATAATGAATTAAGTTAAACAGTATGTCTTTGGCCACATATTGTTTATTTAGTTCCAAGTCTGTGATATTTTAAAAATTAAGTACGTTATTTTTTTAGCATAACACAACTTTTTGTAAATATGTGTCCTTAAAGAAATGCAGAATAAATTCGGGAATTTAAAGTGTAATCAAAACACTTACGAGGCCTAAATGGTACAATTATAGCAATTTAGAGAGTTGGTTATTATGTCACTTTTTTTTTTAACGACAAACCTTAGGTATTTATCAAATGTATAAATTCTTTTTAATTTTTGGTAATTAAAAAGTTTCTAATTTGTTAGAACTTTTTTCAAATCTGATTGCTTTTTGTTTTGTCATTTGTAGACACACTATATAGTGTTAATATATTATTTATAACTTATAACATATTCCTGTTGTTGTATTTGTATCTAAAATTATAGTAATATTTATACATATTCACTTAATTTATTGTTTTTACAAAGAAATAAACCACTTTATATATTTGTTGCACTTTTCTTTTCTCAGTTTGATATTGTTACGATTATCTGAAATTTAAAACTGACGTACGTAAACTCAACAATTTATTTCTTACTAACACAAATTTACACGACTAACTGCATAGCGATTTTGTACAAAATAATTGTGGTGCAATTTGGCTGGACTCTGTCTTGACTAAACTGGCTGAATATTAATCGTTCCCGAAGGTGGCTTCTATTTAAAACCATACTTCCCATAGTTCCGCAGTCGAGGTCTTTCTGGAATACCCATCGCGACTTCCAGGCTTTTCTTTAGCGAACGCCGCCCGGCCCGTCACCGACGATGATTCACCCATAGGCGTCGTACCGGGGCAGGGTATGGGTTTATTTCGGAACAATATCTAATGCATTTACTTTTCGTGAATAAATCAAAATACATTATTCATTTAATACAATCGGTTTAGAATTTTTGTTTCATACCTATAGAAAACAAAGCTACTCTACTGTCATTAAGAAGAAGAGTGGTATTTCATAACTAGGTAAGTATAACGCGCATCTAGCTTGGGAAGCTGTTGGGTATGAGATGATTCTTCAGTCTTGGTTGTATACATAATCCTGTATATTATTTTTAGGTAAAGTTGACAAAAATCTGACGAAGTTATACAGGAAATAAAACTTCACTTGAAAAAGTTTGCCGAGAGATCTTTAAATATTCAAGGAAGCAGCTTAAATAAAATTCCATGTGGGGAGTTATATATGAAAATATCAATTCTGAAAAAAAAATTGATTTTGACGAGAAGAATTGGGGATGATCTTCTAGGAACCAAGCACGAAAAACCGTCGCCATTTATATTTAAAGGTAATTTCGGGAAATATTACAAAATTAAGATATAGCGCAAACAAAGCAATATCATTTTTTGGGTGACTATTAATAATTAAAACAAATTTTTGTGTTGGCAATTCCGAATGATTGACAGCAATGCTAGTTTGTCGGTTCACAGTTGCCGATTTTGAGATGAGCACCCCTAACGAACTTGGTGAGAAGATAGCAGCTACTGATTTGGTGTCATAAAGGTCCGTTTGACAATCGGGTATGCCAGCATAAAATTTCAAATATGTTGCCAACTTGACCACAAAAATTCATACACATTAATAAATAGTTACTCGATATTTTCAAGAAATAAATCATTTTATTCCATTTAGTCGAAGGTAATACAAAATACTTCAAACTTCAATCATAATTTTATTTAAAACGTTTGACGTATAAAGAGATATCTCAAATATTTATAGTGCTTGCAAAGTACGTATCGTTAAGCTCAATACAGTCCTATAGTCATAGATGATGTCAACAGCAACATTAATTTGAACTAAAAGACAAATATATGTACCTATGTATTTTCAGACAATAGTTATGTGTGGAAGGTATTATTTTTAGTTATTTCGGAAACATTTAAAAGCCTATAATATATTATCTCTTAGAGACATGAAAATAACAGAACAGAACTGGCGTGAAAAGGTGAATGTGGAGACATTTCCTGAAAGTTTCAGATTTTCATTTTTTTCAGCATAACGATTTTGAGGAACAAAGTGGGCTAGTTTCAAAAAATTTTATATTTCAAGAATTTTGTTGCAACTGCAGTTACATTTTTGTTGTACGAGTACTAAATTTCTGAAAAAATCAACTCTCTTAGAACAATTGTGTTCGTACAGGAGCCAGCTGAAAATAACAAAAATCTGCAAATTATAACGAAGTTTCAATAAGCCACCATGCAGTGGTGAATTATGCAGATAAGATACTTACATTTTTATTACTGAAAGTACATTTACTAGGTAGTAAATAAAATTATAATCATTTCAACATGTGCTATAGGAAAAAGTTTCAACCCATAACAGGAAAGTATGAATATGGTACAATTTCAAGTTCAAAAAATAATTGTCGATGGTTTTTCTTATTTGTTATCTAAAAGATCATCCTCAGTTTTTTTCATCAAAACCAAAAATCACCCCATTTAGTGTTTTCAAATTGAACGATCCGTACGAAGAACATTTCAGAAACCTTTATGATTTTTGTTCATCTGCCTAACCGTGGCAGAAAGTTCTAATACGTCTTTAAGACAAACAAAGTATAAGTGATCTGATGATATCATGTCTTGACCATAATTATATGTGGAGAAAAAATATTATTCGAAATTATGAGTTATGAGTGTTATGACCAATTATAGTTATATATCGTTGTGCAGTTGTAAAGATCGCTTGTTGTGCAACTAGATATTTTCAAAACTAGTTCTGTTCTCAAATGTACATAAATTTAAATTATAATCTTTGACCGTTGCGTTGATAGGAACTGAAACAGGAAAAGTTTGTTATGTTGTTAAATAATTGTGTTAATTTCTTTCAATCACACAAAAATACTGTTTATTTATTCATCGAAAAGGAATTGCTACCAACAACCTTAACTGGTACGAGCAAATAAATTTCGCTTCATAGAAATCCACTGAAAAAAATTCATGTTGAAAACTGAGAAACGTCAGAGTAACTAACAATTAAAATAAAAAAAAATGATGGACATCAGAACATACTTAAAATTTATGACGTTGCCTATTTTAAAAAAAATTCTCTAAAATACATACCACAAAATATTGCTGTACATAACTGAATTTTGTATTTAGTTCTATCACTGATATTTATCGTAATATACATAATACCAAGAATTAAAATATGATCCATTTGCTTACACTTTAAAAATCGAAAAAAAAATTATTCACTGCACCATTAGGAAACAATTGTTTTGGTTATTTTTCCTGCTGTTTAAGATTCCTAATAATTACTTTCTCATGTTGTTTAGACACAACTGTTTGACATGCATTGGTCTTGATTCAGAGATTAAGTAGATAAAATTGTAAATAAGTATAATTAAAGTAACAAAGAAAATAACATAATTAAAAAAACGGTCACCCATTAAGCTGATGTGCTCTGGTTAATTTTACATGAACTTTAAAATTCTTATTTAATCAACTAACATAAAAATAAGGTAAATTCCTAGTTCTTACAAAATTCAGCAGAAATTTTAGCTAAGAATTTAAATCTCAGAAACATTAAAGAATCAAAATAAATCAGCTGGATTGTAGTTTAACATGAACCGAAATTGTAGGTCATAGAATAGGTATCATGTTTTTATACGTTGCCTAAAATTCCGAAAATATTAAATAAAACATTATGTGTTCAAAAGCAAGCGAATTGATGCTAAAAAAATTCAATTTGATGAAACCATTAACTTGTGCTAAAATAAAATAACAAATATCTTACTCAAGTCAAACTTTACCTTGTGAACTTGTGATATAATGAAAATAAGGAGATACGTAAACACATATTTTATTTTAGCGCCTGAAATGGCACAAAATTCATGTAAAACAAAACTTTTTTTTAATGTGAGAATGAAATGTAGGTTAATTCTAAATGTTTGAAAAATATACATTCTAATACCTGCAAAGTATTTGTCATTGTTCGTTACGAACTAGCACACTGCAGGTGCATCATAGGTCTGTAGTTAACATTGACATTTTTACTAAGATAAGATGTAATTTATGAGTGGTCAGAAATATTTTGTATTAAATGCACAAAGTGTTTCTCACTCTAGGTAAATATGATCTGCAAGAGGCTTCAGTATTATTTTATTATTATTTTTTAAGTATTTTGAATATAATGAAACACTATTTAAAAATATTTGTACAAAAAATAATCAGACTAGATGCATTTATATACACAAATAATTCAAAACATGGTACGCTGTTTAATATACAAGTTTGTGGTATGTAAATGATTTACTTATTATAAGTGTTAAACTTTTGTGCCTTCTAGTTATGTCTGACTTTTCGCCTAATTGAAAAATTAAATCATTTAAATTTTGTTCCTTTTTTGTAAAACAAAGGAAACAGGTACTAGTTTTTGTTAAAACTTTTGAAATAAATAGAATGTAGATTAAGTACAGCTAGAACGACTTGTTAATTTATTTATGTAACCAAGGAAATAAATAATTGGCTATCTACTTTTATATATTTTAGTCACAAGCTTTGAAAACAATAGATTGTGATGCGTGTTATTTTCAAATTTTTTATTTGTATTCTAAAACATGATTTAAATATAGTACAACATCGCAGTAGAAAGCAAAAAAAAAATAGTAATAATAAAACAAAATGGACTGGATTATTTTACTATAAAATGTTGTTTCCAGCAGTAGTAAGAATTTGGATAATAACTATAATCCAATCTAAATAAAACCATGCAATATTGTTCATTTATAATAAAACGAAACTTTTTTCAAGACCTTAGAATTATAACATACCGATTCGACTGGTATCATACTCTAACTTTTCCTCACCTATATAAGCTTTAGTATAGTAGACAATTCGTTTAGATGTAAAAGTACTACTAGTAGGAATAGAATGTTTGTCTTTCCAAAATTGTTTCAGAAGATTTTTGTATTAAAATAACAAGTATTCAAAATTTCATCTGTATGACTGCGTTCAACGTGAAATGGGATTGAAGTTGGATTTGATCTTCTTGTAATTTATTTTTATCCTCTGCCGTGAATATTATATTATTAAATACCAGTTTTTTTATGAAAAGCCATCATTAAACGTCATGAAAAATTTCAAGGCAAAATGTTTCTGGTTTTTGTTTCAGTTAGTTGTGAGCAGCCCGAAAGGAAATGTGGAATTATTTATTAACAAACTGTTTCGTATTTTTTTCTTCATACTTACTGATTTCTGTATCTGAAAGCAGAAAATGGCGTAAGTGATTTTTTTCTATTAATAATAATAATAATAAGAACTGTTTTGTGATAAACATAATAATTTAAAATTATGATCAAATTTATTTAGAACTACATATAATAGTATGTAATTATGTAGTTGTGAGGGTTATTTATTCATTTTATTAATAATTTTTTTAATATACATATATGTACTTATTAATTATTATTAGAGAGAGAGAGAGAGGGAGAGAAAAAGTTACATACTAAAGACGTACGGTTTTTTTAAGTAGCATAGACTAAAATAATTTTGACTGTACAGAGTGTTTTGTTTTTGAGGCATAGCGCACAACTTAGTTTGTCTTTTATAGAATACCTCATAAGTTGTATTTTAAAATGATTTAAATTAATACAATAATAAACATAAACTCCTATGCTTCTGGTGTACGAATCCATTTTGCGTTTTTTCATAAACGACCAAATGTTCGCAAAAAAATTAACATAATATGTATAATAACAAGTTACCACCAACCCAGGATATAAGCGACTACGGTCAAATGAGCGTCAGAATATGGACCGGGGTCGCAAGTTCCATGCCAAACCCAAATTTCATAACTATAATTCTGGTATTAATGGAGATATGTATTTCATTTTAAAAATGTATTAAATATCCCACAAGAGTCAAAAGACTGCACATCTTTTTTTACGAAATTTTGATAAGATACGAACCACCAAAATTAGAGTTTAAAAAGTACACTTAGAAGATTCATTCTCTTCCAGAGAGCGTATGACATCTTCCCCAAAAATACTTCAGGCTCGGGAAGCAAAAATACACTGCGATATTAGTGCGCTGTGTAATATGCATTTAGTTTTTAAAATTACTGACACAAGATATCGGATGATTTTTTTCTGGTCTAGTTGGCAATGACAATTAAGTCAGCCGTTGCAAATGCATTGCTGACGTAGGCGTCATGGCCAACTAGAACAGTAATTTTAAAAATCTCGCTGTTTTAGACAAAAAGTTCTTATGAAGAGATTAATTTTAACTATATACATATTTAATCTAGCTAAAACCTGATACTGAAAAAGTGATCTCAAAAAACCTGTTTTGCAAAATTTAATGGGAATGACGCCTTGATCCGCATGCAGTTTTTGTTATGCTTTGGTGATGTTTTTATTGAAATTTGAGAACTTAATTTTTATTTCAAGGGTATTTAGCTCCCACTTTTTTCGTACTTGTTTTTTGATAGTGGATGATTTTTACTTGCTGATCTGAAGTTTCTATAATTTTTTTCTTAAAAAGTTATTACATAGAGGAAAAAATGATTTACTGCAAATTCTAGTAATAACAAGGATGAATAAAATTTTTTGCTGTGACATTGTCACTTTAATTTATTGAACTGTTGATTGGTGGTAGTTAAAACAAGAAATTAATTAATTACTTATTATAATTAGCGGAAAAAAACGCCCTTATTATACAGTTTGCATGCGCGTTTGAAGATGCATAATTTGCAGTTGACATTGCTATTTTTAACGACGTGAATTAATTTGTCATATGTGTTATGTATGTTAAGGCTGTATCAAAAAAGTACATTAAATAAAACTAGTAATTCTATTGTGCGTTCCGGTTTGACTCGGCAGCGTACAAAACTCGTAAGCAATGCATTGTAAATGGGAGAATTCGCTGAGGTGTTGTCAGTTATCCAAACAGCTACCGATTTTTAAAAAGGTTGATACATGAATCTTACACAAATTAGCATACAGTTTTTGTCGTTCCGCCTTTATTCATGTTAAATTTCATTTATATATATTAAAATTTCACAGTAAAGCGAATTTAATTTTATCAGTTTAGACTTTCGTGTTTTGGTTTCTTATCACGTCATATTTCAAAAACTATTCAAAATTTTGTCTTTCAAACCATTCTACAACTTTGCCACTAAACATTTCAACATTTTGTGCAGACATATTTTTTTGATAGAAATATAAAAATACTAGTACCTACAGTAAAAGTTACATTGTTAGAATCAGTAGTGTTCGGTTATTTTACAATTAAAAAAGTAAGAAAAAATTATGGAAATTCAAGAAATAATTCGATTCACTACGAAATTTTAATATATAAAAATCAAATTTTAACATGGATAAAAGCGGGATAACAAAAAATACACACTTTTTAGATGTACCATACCATAGAACTACTTACTTACTTATAGGAAAAATTCCTGTACCACTAGATTATTTAGGACTAGTAATTCTCTGTCACGCGTAGATTTCATAGATATAAACTTCTAATTATTTTAAGTACAAATGTAAAGCTGTTTTAGGATTGTGAAATGTATATTCATATATAAATTTATTACATGTTAAGTTATGATATTTATGTAAATGTAAAATGGCCAAGTCCGTTAATAAAGTATATTATTATTATTATTAATATTATAACTTTATGATAATTTGTGTAAGATTCATGTATTTTTACAGTTTCGGCCACAAAATCTTGGGCAATTCTGTCATTTTCACGTAGACTAGAATGTGGATGATGACGTACGTCAAAATTTATTTTTTTAAAGTGTCAATCATTATGACAATGAAGCATAGACTACATCGTGTTTTTTTTAAATAAGAGAAAAATACTGCCCAAGATTTTCTGGCCGAAACCTACTTCAGGAATCGGTAGATTTTTGGATAACTGGCAACACCGCCGCGAATTCTCCCATATAAAATCCATTGCTTATGGATTTTGTACGCCACCAAGTCAACTAAGTTCTCCATTTTTGTAACAATGAAGCGGCCATAATTTAATTATATATTGTTTTATTAAACTTGATACTACTTCCGGTGTAAAATTATTTGTCAATAACAATTAACAATGGAATGAATTTGGTTATTCCACTCGTCCTAATTAGGAATTTAAGATTGTTTGAGAAATAAAGTATAACAATTTTTTGAGACATTCTATATAAGCAATTCTAAAAGAAAAACATGCTACCAAATGCAAACACCACTGGATCCAAGTGATATTTTTCATTCAACTTTCTTGGCGGATGAAGTTCAATTATTTTCTTGTATCACTAACACAGTGATAGCGTCTGTCTTACTAAAATTTCAACTGAGTCCCTTATATTATTTATTTATAGATGTTTGGTTTATATTATTGCTAATTTCACATCTTTCTCATTACTGAATTAGTCATTAATATTACACAAGAACGGAGATAGTATTTAGAGGTTTTAAATCTCTAAATACCTTGCTAAGGGAGGTTACAGCTAAGGTTGACTGAAGCTATAGATGGAACACATTATTCAGCTATTAAATATTATAATATTATTCCCAGCTTAATGAAACAACATCCATCAAAAATATTTTTAGATAAAATGAAAAAATATCTAATACAAAAACCCTTCTACAGTTGTGATAAATTTTTAATAAATGAACTTAAGAAGCAAGCAAAATCAAACAATAACTGTCTTTATTTCGATGTGTGTAAATACCTCGTATTCTAACACAATTTTTTTAACATTATTTAAGTATTTTAAGTGAACGAAATTGGATTGTTGCTCAAGTCCAGTATGATTTTCACGCACACTCAAAATTTTCTGAGAAAATTCGGCAATACAACAAGACTTGCAATATACAGGATGAGTATTATAATACCTATTTGTAAACGTCTCATCAAGATAGTCCCTAACGACTATATGATAATGAGGTGGTGCCCCATCCTGCTTAAACCACAGCTCTTGTCGAAGGTTGAAAGGGACATTTTCTAATAACCTAAGCTAAATAAAAAATTGTCGATAACTGTGTCCTGTTAAGACCAATTACGTAATCTGCAATCATACCAGCCCACACATTTATGGTATAAACATTTTGAAAATGAGCTGTTCTGATCCGGTGTGGGTTATTTTGGGAATAATAGTGACAGTTGTGCCGATTAACAACCCTGTTATTGCCAAATCTTGCTTCATCGTTGAACAAAACTTTGATTAAAAAATTGTTGTCCAACTCTAGTTCATATTGCATAAAATTGCAAAATGGTATTCTTCTGGGAAAGTCTTCTTCTTTTAGATCTTGTACCTACTAATGTTACATGGTAAGGGTGGAATTTATTCGCTCTCAAAATTTTTGAAACGGAAGATTGAGATATTCCTACCTGTCGTGCAATAAATTTTTGGCTCACATGCGGGTCATTGTCTACGGCTTCAATTACACGATTTTTTTCTTCGACTTTCTTCATTTTAATCTCCATTATATCTTCTAAAATTTTCACTCGATCTTCCATACATTGCTGTATTGGTTTCTCAAACTCACTTTTTAGATGTTAGACTTCCTCTTTTACTTTTTGATCCATCAAGACCACGTTTTCTTCGACAAGATTTTGCAAACTTGTTTCTGTGTCCTTCATTTGTTTTTTAATTCCTGTTATTTCATTTTTTGTTTGCTTCCACTTCCATTTGGAATTTTTCACTTAGGCTGGTGATTATGTTATCTTTTTGCTTGCCTATTTTTTCGTCCATCTTTTCCATTCTTGCGTCCATTTTTTCGTTTATCTCTTCTATTGTTGCATTCATTTTTTCATCTCTTGCATTAATTTTTAGTTCATTTCTTCCATGCTTATGTCCATTTTTCCGTCTGTTTTTCCCATTTTTGCGTCCATTTCTTCTTTCATTTCATTTCAATGGAATCAAATCCTGCTCGCACATTGCGCAGATCTCACTCTCAGATAATTATTTCCTAAAGATTCTGGTTCGTTACTCTGCAGGACCTGTTCTGGTAACATAGTGTCTGGGAAATTATTTTTTTTAATTCTTCCAAATACATTCTCAGCTACCAATTAGATGAAGAATCAATGCTCAAGTAATGAATTTGATGTTAGTCAACAATAACTATCATTGTAAAACGTGGTAAATCATTTTCTAGATTCAAAGGTATATTTCTTCTTACGTGTTGAGAAATCAAAACACAAAATCTAAACCTATTTCTAAAGCCTGGAGCCTGAACACAGCGAACCCAAATTCATGCCGCAAGAAGTTCTGCTTGCATAACAAAATAGTAGTGATAATAAAAAAATATTGTTTTGACATTTTAGTACACCCACCAAGTTTTAGTTACAATACAATTTTTCTATATGTTAAAAATTAAAAGAAATTGTCGATTTTTTTAACAAATGACAAACAAGGTTTAAAACAATTTATGCAGTCTTATGGAGTACCAAAATACATTTGAAATAACGGTCATCCAAATTTTTTGATGTAGTGCTGCCGGACTTATTTTATTATTATTTTTCTCAAAATAAAACAACAGAATAGAATATGGGTTAGTTATTTAGGATGGCACCTTTTCACGCACACTTAACTTTGTCGTAAACAACGCATTCTAACAAGTTACATACTGGGTGTTCAATTGAAATATTGAAAATGTCATCAGTTAATATTGATTTTTGTAAATATTGGGAAGCATGTGTACAGTAAACCTAAATAGATGACAGATGACAACGCCTTTTAACAACCCTGTCAAATGTCAATTTTACACAACAGTACGTATAAATAAAACAAATGTGTTTTTCGCTGCGTTTTCTTCTACCAAAAAAACAACGCCAACTTGACGACTTTTTCAGCTGAACACCTAGTGCCGTAAAGAGTTGAAAAAACATTCCTTAAATTGTTGATTTGTTTTGTTTTAGCGTCACAGTTTCCACGATGTTACAGAGATGATCCCCAACTAAATAAATGTATACTAGAAGCAACAAGAACAATGAAACATTTTTTAATGAAAGGCATAACTGAATTTAATTTTCCTCCAATATCTCCGTTTTATGTTCCTGAGGTACACATTCACCAAGGGGGTCCTAACGATTCGGTCAGTTTTAATCTGACATTGAAGGACGTAGTCATCACTGGATTTGACAGTTACGAGTTCGAAAAATTTGAGTAAGTATGTTAATTTGTATACGTGGTTTATTAATTCGTGTTTTGTAAAAAATATTAAAAGTGAATAACAACATTTTACAACGTTTTAAGGCGTTCTTAGGCATATAGTATACAGTGAATCAAAATTTATTTACTTTTTTAAGAGACACACTTACTTATCGAAAGAAAGAATACAGTAAGATGAAGTAATAAAATGCAGGGTAGTCTGTTTGAAAAAATGAAATATCCATACTTGAACACCGTAAAGTTTTAGAATTTTTTAGAAACACTTTGTATATTAAAAACTAATTTCATTGATACCACAACAAATCGTGTATGTCTGTTAAGCTCTCCATAAAAATTCATAACATAGATTTATTAATAACCCTACTGTGAAGAAAATTGGAATAATGTGGCAACGTCCCATCAAAATTTTAAAAGTAAATTAGGTATTGTTCTAAAGTCTACAACGAGATCAATCACAATATGTAAAAATACATAAGACATTGTACTAAAAAAACTAGTTGTATGTTCCGTCTCAAAAACAGTGTATGCTACTCCTGAACTCATAAATCTAAATTTCTAATAATTAATGCGATACCAAAGACTGCCCTTTCAGTGACTTACCCTGTACATATAATTTAAAACCTTGATATATCTTAAGCTGTAAAGGTGTGTAGAGTCATATTTCATTGTGTCCAAACTTTGACAGATTTTGCTTATCTTCTGCCATTATTTTCGCCTCTTCCCTGTTATATTCCTTTCTTTTAGGAGCCCCACCATTTCAATGTCACATGTTTTTTTTAGTCTTTTTCTCTATCTTTTTGTCTGCCATACCTTCTTCGCTTCTTTTGTCTCTTTTAGTTTTATTAGACGGACTATACATTATTATTAATGTCAAGAATTTTACATTCACATAAAACGTGTAATTCTGTCAAAGTATGTCATTCGACCAAAAAATTGTATGTTATCTACTTTACAAAAACTGTAAACTTATAATTAAATAAAATATTGTTTGTATTATAATTTTAGCTTTGACCCAAAAACCTTACAATTTGATTCCGAATTAAAGATGGGTGCATTGAATTTTAAGGCCAAATATGTGGTGAATGGAAAAGTTTTAACTATACCACTTGACGGTAAAGGGAACATGAATTTCACAATTAGTAAGAAACAATCATTAATATTTTACATTATTTGCCACTAACATACGTTACTTCAGCTACATCTAGCGGTACTTTGAAACAAAATGCTTCATTAACTACTAGAAAAGGTCAGAAGTATTTAACATTACATCCTCCTAGTATCCATATCGACGTAGGAGACGTAACAGATCCTCATTACGACGGATTATTTGACGGAAATGAAGTTTTGGGTAAAAACATGAAACTTAACTAGTTGTTTATAAAATGTCTTTAAATTCGGGTTTCAGCTAAAGCTGTAGAAAAGGTTTTGCAGGATTATCAAAAAGAACTCGGAGAAGAAATGAAACCGACGGCTGAAAAAATTATTGAACAAATAATATATGATCTTCAACAGAAGCTTCAAAGTCGTCTTCCTTACGATGAAGTATATCCGGTTCACGAACAAGGCTTATGAAGCGACATTTTAATTACTAATCCATATAATTTTCACATAATTTAAAACGTACCTATGTGTTTCAGTTTAGTACGAATTATGTAGAAAAACCCACTTCTCATTGTTGAAAAAATTGTTACCTAAAATTTTCCAGTTATAACTCAATGCTAAATTAGACTTTAGTTAATTTTAATTAATTTTCTGTATTTATGTATCGTTTGTATATAAGTAGTAAAAGATTTGTTCCCACATCGAATTCTAACTGTTTTTTACAATAGAAAATAATATTATCGATATGTTTGTGATAATAAGTACAATTCTAGATGTTTTCAACATTGTTGTTCCAGATCATTAGATTAAATAGTTTTGATTAATTAAACTAAGAATGTAAGAGTTGCTAGGGGTTTTAAGTTTTAAACTAGGAAACTTTATTATCAAATTTTGTTCTTAATTATTATTGTTCGTGATATCCCTAACACACTATTTACGTGTGTGTTATAATATGGAAAAAGAAGAAAGAAAGTTTTGTACAAAATATGTTTTATTTAGCATTTCATTGGCATTTGTTCAGAGAAAAAATTAAATATATATAATAATTAAGAACACTTAAAATACATTTGAAACATGAACATGTCATTCTGGAAATAATTCTTTAACCGAGAATTTTTCAAATAATCTGCTAATGAGTCCAAGCACTGTCTGTTTAATTGCTAAATGTATCGAAGGCCTTAATTCTTGTAGTATCTCATCGATATTTTCATTGAGGATTTTATTTGTTTGCTCGGTGAGTTCAGGATTATTTCTAAAAAGCCCCTCAAATTTAAAAATTGCTTTGTGTACCTTTTCATCTATTTCCATGGTAGAAAATTTTAAATGTTCGTTGTTTCCTTTTTTGTAGCGTTGTGCTTGCAATGTAACATCTGCGTCAACACCGGCTGCAAGATAAAATTTGTTTGAAGAAAATAAATAATATTCAATTGAACGTTTCTTACTTAAGTTTCCGTCTGCAGGTCCATGGCCGTCCAATTGTAGAAATAAAATTTTCCCTTGTATATTGTATATTGACGAAATTCTCAAATGGGGAAAAAAAATTTTAAGTTCAAACCGATTTTCTTGTAGATTGAAATTGATATCTTTTACTTCTAAAGTATCCAAATGAAATATCGTCACATTTTTGAATGCAGCTTTAAAGCTATTGTCAGAATCCAGAGAAATTTCAGGAATAACCAAAGGATTCATAGGAGGAAACCCAAATTCTGGTATTCCATTGGCAAAGTGTTGTTTAACACTGTCCAGGGCTTTGATGCAGCAATGTTTAATGTGTGGATCACTCTGGTGACATTTTTTTATGTACGATGCTAAAAATTGAATTTATTTTGTTAAAGTAAGTAAAATTGTTTACTTAATAGTGTATTTTAAATATATACTATGTACTCACGAAAACGTTTTGACGTCCCTACAGAACAAAATAGTAACAAAAACCCAAATAAAATGTAAACATTGGTGAACATAATTATAAGGTGACTGCGCAATACTACATTTTCCGAGGTAATTCTGAGCTTATATAGTATGGTTTGCTTAAATTTTACATATTCACACTTGATGGTTAAGAATAATTCCTTGCACAACATTTTATACGCGGGTATCCCAAGAAATATTTCCACAAACAGAACAATTGAAATTTATGAACAAACGTATGCTACTTGAATCAGTGTTAAATAACAATTCTCAAAACAAGTGATGCTACTTAGGATGCATTTGTGCACTTTTTTTGCAATATTTTTGTTTATTTTTTATACAGACTGACTATTGATTAACTGCTTAATGTAGATTTATATGTTTTTAGTAAAGATGTATCTTTTAATTATTACTCGTATAATAAGGATACGGTTTCTGCTTTATACGGCAGCTGTTACGTAAAAATAGGCAACCATTTCCTAAACAAAATAAAATACCTAAACTGCATTATCATCCTCCTGCACAAAACAATAATACGTGTTGACTGACAGCTTATAATTTATAATTCTTTAGTTTGGTTTTGGGCAAAGTCAATTTTGTTGACACCCCGTATAACAATTTATTAGTGTCATTAGTCATTATAATGATTAACACATCATAGGTTAAAATACTCCCAAAAACGAAGAAATGCTTTGTAATTATAGTATTAAAAAAATTCCATCGATCTATTTTTTTGCCTAGTGTATTTTACTATTTTCAAAACTAGATTGATTTTATGTATATATTCCTTACTATCGATTTTATTAATAATTCTTGTTATTGTTTCGTTTACACTAAAAAAGAATAGCTGTGACTTACATTAATACACAAATATGTACTTACACCCACACATATTGATTTAAACCGAGAATGTGTCCGCAAAAAAAATGGGGGCTACATTTTTTAACTCTGAAGCAACTTTACAAATACCTTTAACCCCATACTGATTTAATTTACTTAAGTATAAGACTAGCAAACTTTTTTGTGACTAAGTAAATGCCTGAATTGTAATTTCGACGAATTTTATTAGCAAACAATCCATCGTCACAACTATTTTAGTATAGGCTGTTTTTTTTTGACTTTGAAAAGTTCAAAATACTTAAAGCTCACTGTAAATGGGTAGCAATGATTGATTAATCTAATTTAATTTGATCGACATGTGTGGGTATAGTTTGACCATCCAGTGTGTCATGTTGGAAATTATAAATTTCACAAACAAGAGTTCCTTGAAGTTTGTTATCGTGCTAACTTTAATTTAGAAATTTGGAACTTTAAATAAAGTTTATTTATTCATTTAATTTAAAAAGGTGACGATATAAAAGTGATTTTAAAAATACTGTATGGAATGTGCTGTATAAAGTATTTTAGAATTGTTTAATGGTACAAGCTATATCAAACATCTTCATCGATTATCTCAGAAACAGTTCATCAGAATTAATATATTTAGTCCTAGCAAAATTCAACAACGTCATGCTTGTTTAAAAAAGTTGTTTAGTACACCTTATTTCAAAAGTATATTCTTAATTATGACCTTACGAATATATTAGTTGTTTCGATCAAAAAGTGTCCAAATGGAAAATTTCTCAGTGTAATATATTATGCAGATGCAAAATTGACCTGACCTGACCTGACCTGACCTGACCTGACCTGACCTGACCTGACCTGACCTGACCTGACCTGACCTGACCTGACCTGACCTGACCTTACGAATATATTAGTTGTTTCGATCAAAAAGTGTCCAAATGGAAAATTTCTCAGTGTAATATATTATGCAGATGCAAAATTCGCTTAAATAAATATCAAAAATAAGTAAAATTTTAAGTTTTACAGTCTCACTACTGACTATTTGTTCATATGATTCGTTTATTCTAATTTGGTAAACATTTCAAGGTTATAATTATATTTATATGCATCTCATTCTAGCTGTACCTTCTAAATAATTAAGTATACATTACACACTGCAAAATTAGAAGTGTAAATTGATAAACTACAATACGCAGTTTCTAGTTTGTCATAAACAAAGAATGAGTGATTTATTGAGAATAATATTGAGGACTCACTTTTGTAAGAAAGAAACGGCTCAACAAATACATATTGAGGAAAAATAAGTAAAACTGTCAACCGCAAGTTTTGTCAATTGTCGAAATTAAACTTTAAAAATTTTTTAAACTAAAGTACATGTAAGTACAACACGTGATATAACATTAGAGTAAAGTTAAAATTTCAGATTTTAACGAAATTATTTTTAGATTTTTATTTTTTTCAAAACATCAATACATAATTTCCAATATTAATCAAAGTTTATAGTAAACTGTATACAATTACAATTGCAGAAACATATTTATATACTCAAGACTATTTTGTTTACGTTTTATGTTAACGACATTTATGAGTAATATGACAACAATAACGTTTCTTATTGATAAACGGTACTAATTTGACTATAATACCGCAAAAAACACTTACAGTCATTACTCATTACTCAAATGATCAAATATTGGCAACACAATTGCCTTTTATAAAATAAAGGGAGACAGAATTGTGGCTTAATTAATAATTTTTAGTCCTCTGTTTTGAGGAGACAAACTCATTCAAATCAAACTAATTTCTGCATGACATTCTTTCAATGTATAAACATAAACATTTGAACTGAAGCTTGTTATTAGTGCTGAAAGGATATTTTTCCCGTTGGTTCCCTGTTTTAAATATGTTTGACATTGTTTGCACTTGGAAGCGCAAATTCTTGGTGCGGGGCTGAGGGAGTGTTATTTATGCCGCTGGTTTTTACTTTGCAACGGTTATCACAAAACGAAAATCGTAAAATAAAATTTTATAATTTCTTTAAAGAAGCGGGATTTGTCCTTTGAAATTTTCCCTTGGTTGTTCAGATTTTTTTTGGTATTCGCGGATTTATTTTGCGTTTCTAATAGTTTTGTATATTCTTAATTAACATTTTTGGATTTTTTTTTTAACTTATTTAATATTTGTTGAACATTACTAACTGTGGCTCCGTTTAAGCCGTATAATAAGCTATACTATGTAAAAAAAAAGTAGTTCTGTAACGTTTTAAATTTTCTAATAAATTTTCAAAAACATTATCTTAATATTATTATTGAAAATAATATTAATAATATTAAATTTTGAAAAACCATCCTTCAAATAAAATTAAATGATTAAACAATTATCAAATCTAATAATGATCAGAAGATGAATTTTTCAAGGCGATCCGCTCAGTCCGTTGTGGATCTGTTTGGTAATAAATCGTCTTTCCTACATCTTGGACAGCTGCAATTATTAATTATTATGGTTCCAATATAAGAATTAACACTAAAATAGAAAGTAGACTATTTCACTTGCTATGGATGATAAAAAAATATATGCAAGCACAGAGTGGGCTTCGGTGTTGAGAAAAACATTCATCAACAAATACAGTATGTAACACAGAATAACGAAATAATCGAAGCCCAAAAACGAAAGAAAACATACAAAATATCTGGGATCTCATCAGTCTTCTGATATTAATCATACTACAACTAAAACAAAACTCAAAAAACAAATATCTGGAAAGAATAAAATTAATTTTGAAGACACAGTTAAACGGAAAGAATTTAATGAAAGTAGTAAATACATTCTCCGTTCCACTGTTAATATTCGTGAAATAATTAAATGATCTGATTGGGAAAATTTAAACATCTCAACTGGAAAATTCTTCAAAGACCTAGATGAAACTCACATCAACTCACGTCATTGATTTGGTTCAAAAATCAAGTTTGTATGCTGAAATACAAGGAATTTTGTTTGCTATTCAAGATCAAGTAATTAATCCAAAGAATTAAAGAAAATATATAATTAAAGATCCAGATATAGGAACGATTATTGTCAACTTTGTAAAGAAAAACCGGAAACGATTCAGCACATATCATCCTGTAGCATCCTGGCACAAATTGATTACAAAACTAGACACGACATCGCAGCCAAAATCATTCACAAAGACTTAACAACAAATTGGAACTTATTCCAAGATCCGACACCTTATTACACTTATAATCCATCTCCACTCCTTGAAAACTTCGAATACGAGCTACATGGGGATCATACAATATCTAATACTTATAGACGACATTACAGCCATAAGACCAGATATCATACTTTTAAATGTCATTGTCATGAAGCCATTTTTCATTAACATTGCTGTTTCTAACACACACAACATAATACAAACATAGCACACCAAAATTTCAAAAATCTACAGTTATCAAAAGAAATGAAGATAATGCTAAATCTTCAGAAAATTTCAATTCTACCTTTAGTTATCCCCAATGTAGGTATAGTAGCAAATAATTTAGTTGAGAATTTGAAATATTTACACTTAAATGATTCAATAATTGTTAAAATGCAAGAAGCTGTTTTCTTAGGAACATGTCATATTGTTCGTAAGTTTCTCTGGAAGGGTCTAGTCATTTCAGTTAGAATAGGTTAACACCAGTGGGTTAGAGTAGTGTACGTCATTTTTAAGGGATTTATGGTTAAATGATCGGTATTTACGCTAGCCTCTTGGGGATTGAGTGAGTTTAGAGAATAACAGCAGCTAAATTTGTATGTTGTAATTCTAGGGTCTCAAAAGTTTTTATTAATATAATCAATGCACGTCACTACTTGATCTTAGTATCCATAATAATAGAAGTCTTTCCTGAATGCCTGTCATTTCCGAGTCAGTGGTGGGTCTTAATAATAATAATAATAATAGTACCTACGATGTCATTAATGAACAGGAGAAAGAGCAGCAGGTCCAAATTGGATCCTCAGATGTTGGTCAAATAACAACATTTGAGAAAAAAAATCGATATTTGACATACTGGTCGCTGTTTAATAAGTATGAGGTAAAAAGAATCAACAAGGAATTTGAAAAACCATAACGACGTAATTTATGAAGCAACACAAATTGGTCGATTTGATAAAAAGCCTTTCGAAAATTAAATAAACATCAACTTTTTTCATGTCAATGGCCTCAGAAATATGACACATGCCAGATTCGTCGTAGCCCAACGATGTTGCATAAATTCATATTGATGAGGAGACATGTAATATTTTACACCAAAATATATAGCTTTGTATGAGATTGATTCAAAGACTTTTGAGAAATTGCTTAATAATAATAATGAAATAGGTCTATAGTTAATGAATTTAGTCACATTTTCTTTTTTAAAACTCAGATAGATTGATACTCTCTTCCAGACATCTGGAAATGCAGTACAGCAGTTTTACAAAAATTTGAGGGCAGTCTTTAACAAGGGAACTAGGTATACCATAAAATAAGAAACTATCTTTGAAAAAGCTTCCCTTTTAACAAAGAATTACAGCAACTTACGATTTACATTCCCTGCTGTGACGTTATACTAATGTAGCACATTGTAGATAAAAATTTGAGTACACATTGCTGACTCCGATAATTAACAGTAATTAATTCTCCCCTCTCCTTGCTGTTTATGAATTTGCACAATATCTTTTGTTAGAAATGTTTTCATGTGTAATTAATTATATGAGTGCTCTGAAATATCGATTTGTAACACCAAAGTTGACTTAAGTGATAACGAGTGCCAGTCAATTTTGTTAAACTGACCCGTTTTTTGACCCAATGGGAATGTCGACTTACTATAGCTTCCCGGAAAAAGCCTATGTTACAGCTCAGTTATAGAATAGTCGCTGTAATTTGAAACAATGTGTTTCGTTATTGGTCGAAAAGTTAATAAAATAAAATAATCATAAATAGTAATATACCGATTCCCGAGACTATTTCAGACTGCTGATAATAATTCTTTTATACATGCCTCAAGTGAGCGTAGCCAATAAAGAGGCATTTGAAAAGATTATCACAAGTAATCTGAGTTGATCGAGGGGTATTTTGGCAGATTATTTCCCGATGAAGTTGCCCCCCCAGAGAGTTAAAATATTATTTTTATTGCTTTTTGAGACGAAGAATTAGAGACGTGATTCATTCCTAAAATCATGTATCCTTGAGCTTTCGAATCTGTGGCAACAAGCAAATATTTTTTCAAAATATTGTAAAAGTGGCGGAACGATTACGTCAAAGTGTTTTGGGGAATATTCGTTTAGTATAACAGACCAAAACGTCGACAACGCCACCGCCAGTCGATACAAAGAAATCTCATGGAAAACATTTGCGCAGTTTTGCAAAGAAAAAAACTGCAAAAAAAGTAATTTGGGTACTAGACTTCTGATTCCGGAAGTACATAAAGTAGCGTACCACAGGACTGAAGTGTTTTCCCATCCTTCGTGATGGAAAATCTTTCTTCAGTCCCTAACATACACATATTTCTTAGAATTTCTATGTAGTTAAGATGAAAGAAAATTATAAAAAAAGTAAAAGACAATCATTTTCAAAAGAGTATTAACCGTATTCCAAAACAGTTCCAGATTAGAAGATAAAAAAATGTGGCAGTACAGTCATGAAATTCCGATTGGAACAGAAAAAGTTTGCAATGTAGGCAACAAATTATACCACGTCGTTTTCGATTTGTATGTATAGTATCGGAAATTTAAAATCGGGCAGCACTTTTTGTGGACTGTAAATGTAGATCTATAGAGAATTCCAAATCACTGTCCCTATGGAAATAGTAGAGCATTAATAGAGATGGCCTACGTAATAAAAATTTAGTTTATCCAAATTGGTGAAACAGTCATAAACTCATGAAAGTGTCAATTTATGCCCGATTTTAAATTTCCGCCAATGTACATACAGAATAAATCATTGACAGGATTCCGTCTATTTTTTTTACATTTAAATTTACAAGATAAAATACTTACATAGTGCAAATTTAAATATTTTTTATTGTTGCTATTTTCAATGCGGCTGAATTAAAAATTTTATTTATTTATTTATTTATTTATTTATTTATATATTTACTTAAATCTGGTGGGACTAGCGAAATGTTGATATATGTATGTATTTTCCTGGTGGATTGTTATAAATCAACAGAAACTTATAAATAGAATAAAAAGATGTTTACTAGCTATTTAATTTATTTAGGAAACAGTTCATCAAATGAAAATCTATTAAATACTCTACTGACAATTCCGATAGCAAAGTCGGTAACTGTTTTGTCAATAACAGGTCTTAGTTCGTCGATTATATCCACCACATTCTCATTTATAATTTTATTGGTCTGTACATTCAGTTCTTCGTTTCCATTAAAGATGTTCTCAAATTGGAAGAAAGGTTTTCCAATTTTTAAATCTACTTTAACTGATTTTATGGTAATATACTCTTTTCCTTTTTTTGATTTCAATTCTCCCTCGAAGGCTGCGTTTGCAGATACATCAGCTGCGAAACAAAAAAGAAATTAATTCAACAACCATGCACACAAAAAGATGTCAGTCATGATAAACTCATAAGACATCTGCAATTGCTACTTACTGAAATTTCCGTCAGCTGGACCATGTCCATGAAGTTGTAGGACTAAAATCCTTCCATCTATATTATATTGAGATAAAATCCTTAGTCTTGGAAAACTAAGTTCTAAATCTATATGATATTTGTCTAAGTTTACATTTAAGTTATCGATTCTAAATTCATTGGCATAGTAAATTTGAATATTTTTGAATGATGCTTTAAAGTTGTCACCACTACTAAGTCCCGCTTCAGGTAAAACCAGAGGATCCATAGGTGGAAGTAATAGTTCTGGAACACCAAGAGCCAAATGTGGTCTAAGCTGTTCCACGGCATTCTTGACACATTCATTTAGGTTTGGATCGTGGCGACTACATAGGGTTAAATATGGTGCTGAAATTATGACAAGAATTAATAGTTGGTTCGAATAATAAAAATTAGAATACAACTTAAGATGATCTCTACTTTATAAATATATTAACTTACTTCATTTATTAGCTATACGCAATTTATTGTATTGATTAAATAAAAAACGCTTATCTAAATTTCGAGAAATTCTGCATATGCAGTATTACCATTAGCGTTTATATTTGTTCCCACCAAAAATTTGATGATGTCACCATAAAATTTATTAGGAAGATCTTTCGTGAATTATATTATTCTATCTATAGTTCCCACCCCTTTTTTATTTCAACAAGTAGGGATTTTGGCAAAAAAATTAAATTCGTAACTAATTTTTATGATTTGTCTAAAAAGCTATTTTTTATAATTATTATTCATGGAGGCAGTAATTGATTTTGCCTCCATTTATACTACAATGTATAAATAATATATTAATATAGCACGATAGAAATTGTCAAAGTGTCTTCTGGGCTTTGGGTAGCATTTTTTTTATTCTTTTGCACAGATTGGACCTTTATAAATTAACACATTTTGTTCCTTTGTATCTGCTTTTTTTTCTCTTTTGGTTTCAAAGTTGTCTACTGTATAATCTTTTTCTTGTATTTGTAAATGTTTCCTAGGTTTTCCTCAGAAGGCAATAGACTTTTTACAAACGCCACATTAAAAATTGGTCTTGTTATTTCGACAGAACTTTTCTCGTTCCTAAAATACAATAAAACTAATCCTGCTTTCTCGAAAAATTATACAATTTTGATTATGCGTTTTTTTTTTATAAGAACCCTTATACGTTAAAATAAAGATATGTATGTAATGTTAAAGTAGGTAAACATGAAGAAGCGTACTGGGCGTATGTTCCAAATCAATTTCCACAAGTATATAGACTCATATTTTGCACATTTTGGATAGGATTTATTCGGCAATCAATTTTTTGGAAGATTTGGCTTAACGATTTATCATGATCACGATAACCCTAAAATATTTACAAGATTTCAGAGCATTCAGTTTTGAATTTCTTCCAAATTTTTTCTGAATGTCTAGGGTGAAATTTCGACATGGATTCACACATGACAAGTATAGGAGCATCTTACTTTATGAAATGAAAAAAAACTTTATTATAAATTTTCGAGATGACGTCATCCCATTGGTGGTGAGGATGATTATCAAAATTTTGGTTAGCATTTAACTATCTACATGATATATCTAAGATGTATACAAAATTTGACAACAATCGGTCTAGCCGTTTCGGAGATCACGTGTCTAATATAAATAATGTAATCGAGTCCGTCGGTCGACTCTCTACTTTTACCTTTTCTTGATCTTTCATGACTCCTAGCATACGAAGAAATAGGTCTCCCATTTCCGTCTGTCTGTCCGTCTGTCCGTCTGTCTGCCATCCCGGATTTTTATTAGACAGATAATCTCCGAAAGTACTCGACCGATTGTTGTGAAATTTTGTACTTATATTAGGAATATCATGTAGATGGTAAAACGCTAACCAAAATTTGTCTAATCATCCCCACCACTAATGCGATGACGTCACTTCAAAATTGTACATAGTAAATCGGTTTTAAATTGTATAAAATAACATAGTGTTTTACGACTCCGAATTGAGTTTTTACCCGAAACGTCCAGATTTTTGGAAAAAAAATCAAAATTATAAAACAACATTTTGCAATTTAATTTTGAATCTGCTAACCCGAATGTTTTGAGATGTTGCAGATGTTTTAAGGCTATAAAGAGCATCATAAATCTTTAGTCAAAATATATTTGGTTATCCCCTCCAAAAACTTGATGACGTCAGCTCAGAAGTTTACCGAATAAATCCTATCTAAAATGTACAAAATATGATGCGTCTGTACTTGTGATATATCACTCCATTCATATTTTTTGGATTTGCATATACAGGGTGACTCAAAAAAATTACTGAATGCGCAAAATTTATTTTACTGATTTACTCAGGAACTACAAAACCGAATGCTTTGAAATCTTGAAGATGTTTTAAAATTATCATAAGCATGGTAAATTTTTGATCAAAATGTATTTGGTCGTCCCTCCTAAAAAATGTATGACGTCACCACAAAATTTTGCTGAATAAATCCTATCTAAAATATACAAAATATAGTGAGTCTCTTCTTGTGATTTATCATTCCATTCAAATTTTTTCGATTTGCATATACAGGGTGACTGAAAAAAATTAATGAATGCGTCAATTTGTTTTATTGATTTAATCAGGAATTACAGAACCGAATGCTTTGAAATCTTGGACATGTTTTAAAGTTATCATAAGCATGGTCAATTTTTTATCAAAATTTAATTGTTCTTCCCCCCTAAAAAATTGATGACGTCACTCCAAAATTTTGCTGAGTAACTCCTATCTAAAATGTACAAAATATGATGAGTCTGTACTTGTGATTTATCATTTCAATCATATTTTTTGGATTTGCATATACAGGGTGACTCAAAAAAATTAATGAATGCGTCAATTTATTTTATTGATTTAATTAGGAATTACAGAACCGAATGCTGTGAAATCTTGGAGATATTTTAAAGTTATCATAAGCATGGTAAATTATTTATCAAAATTTATTTGCTCATCCCCCCCTAAAAAAATTGATGACGTCACCCTAAAATTTGGTAAATAAATCCTAACTAAAATGTGAAAAATATGATGAGTCTGTACTTGTGATTTATCATTCCATTCATATTTTTTCGATTTGCATATACAGGGTGACTGAAAAAAATTAATGAATGCGTCAATTTATTTTATTGATTTAATCAGGAATTACAGAACCGAATGCTTTAAAATCTTGGAGATGTTTTAAAGTTATCATAAGCATGGTAAATTTTTTATCAAAATGTATTTGCTCTTCCCCCCTAAAAATTGATGACGTCACTCCAAAATTTTGCTGAATAAATCCTATGTAAAATGTACAAAATATGATGAGTCTGTACTTGTGATTTATCATTCCAATCATATTTTTTGGATTTGCGTATACAGGGTGACTCAAAAAAATTAATGAATGCATGAATTTATTGTATTGGTTTAATCAGGATTTACAGAACCGAATGCTTTGAAATCTTGGAGATGTTTTAAAGTTATTATAAGCATGGTAAATTTTTTGTCAAAATGTATTTGCTCATCCCCCCTAAAAAATTGATGACGTCACCCCAAAATTTTGCTGAATAAATCCTATCTAAAATGTACAAAATATGATGAGTCTGTACTTGTGATTTATCATTCCATTCATATTTTTGGATTTGCATATACAGGGTGACTCAAAAAAATTAATGAATGCTTGAATTTATTTTATCGATTTAATCAGGAATTACAAAACCGAATGCTTTGAAATCTTGGAGATATTTAAAGTTATTATAAGCATGGTAAACTTTTGTTCAAAATGTATTTGTTCATCCCTCCTAAAAAAATTGATGATGTCACCCTTAAATTTTGCTGAATAAATCCTATCTAAAATGCAAAAAATATGATGAGTTTGTACTTGTGATCTATCATTCCATTCATATTTTTTAGATTTTCTTAAGAGGTAGCTCAAAAAAATTAATGAAGTCAATTTATTTTATTGATTAAATTAAAGGCAACACTTATTATTAGTATTACACCCCAACCAACCCAATTTGGTAGACACAAAATTTTTTAAAGTAAAAACTCGGTTGAAACATAAGGGTAGCACGCTTATTTACATCGACTTTAACATTACAGACGTGCATTTGTTTTATGCGCTGACTAGGTTCCGCGAATGTGGAATAGATATGTTTATAATCAACCAATTGTGAATTCCACTGTCAAAAATTAAAATAAAACCCAATGTTTTATATAATAAGCGGAAGTCGAAGCAATAAAACCGATGGTCGTTTTGTTTACAGTTTCTCTGTTTGATTCTCACGTATGCTGTTACGCTTGTCATCTTAAATTAAGAATGTTTATACATAAACGATTTTCAGTTGCCTCTCATATTACACACCGGCGCCGTATACGTGAGTAAATTGTTTCGTTATTTTATGGATTATAACAAATCAATATTCAAAACGACCCAATTCATTTTCCCGAAAATTTGGGAATACAATAATTTTATTCTTAGTATTACACTACATCTATCCCAACTGATATACGTGTCCTTGCAAAAATGTTGATGACGTCATCGCAATTTTTTTTTTAAATTCCCACTACAAAAATGTAATGAGAAAAAAAACACAATAGGCATGCAGTCGTCAAGTTTCCGACAGCGAGGGAAGTACTGTCTAAACTCTTTAGACCAATTTTTGAAACATTGGGCTAGAATTTCCTTAAAATTTTTCCATTATGGGCTAAAATTAATCCGCTCATTTTCACTAAAATTAATATCGTTCAAAAAAGTTGTACAATCCCTCCTATCTGATCGCTCTTCAAAAGCGAGGAAAGGTCAAAAACTTTCCACATTTGTTTACATATTTTAGACCGACTATATACAACACACAATTACACAAACCTGCAAATTTTAAAACTTAAAGACCTGTTTTTGCACATTTGTTGTATTGCTAATTATGAACATGAATTTTATTTTTTGCTCACGTAAGGTTTATTTGGAAAAAATACAAAAACTAAAATTTATGAAATACAGCATATTAAAAAAAAGAGATATTTATTTTGTATATGTATGTTTCATATATTAAAAAAAATACTTTTGTCCCCTCATTAAAAATGATTATGAAATCTAAAGATCTTTTTCCCCTGAAATGTTTGACTCGCCCAATCATCTGATGGCCATTTAGACACTTCAGATATTTTCTTCCATTTCAAACCGCTGAAAGCGTATACTATCGTATTTTTTTCAACGTGATAACATTCAATGAAATTTAAACACCATTTTTGTACATGTGATAATTGTTGCTGTTCTTAATGACGGAATTTTAATAAAAAAAAACTTTTGGTTAATTAAACATAGATTACTTCGATTAAAAAGGTGTGGTAATAATATGAAATCAAATTCTTAGAAGATACTACAATGTTTCTATAAAATAACATTAAATTTGGTTTTGAAACTAAAAAATGTGTACAGTGCATTAAAAAATATAAAAAAAAATTTTCTTTTGAAAAATTCCCATGCATCTTATTTCTTACAAGAACAAAACCCACAAAAATTGACCAATACTGTTAACATTTTAAACATCCATCAGCACCCCAAATTTGTCTCTCCAAATTGTTGTACTTCATATTAAATTTAATTTAGTTTTAATTCCCTGGCAGGAAAGATTATAATTAAATTGAAATTAAAAATTATAATAAAAAAACTTTCAATAATAAAATAGGTAATATGAGGTTGTCTATTATCAGAAAACAAATGCAGAATTTATTTTAAATAGCTACTTCTACAAACTGAGTTTATTAAAAAATTAAAAAAAAAATTGACACATTTTGACTGCAAAAAATGTAGAGCCTCAATTACTAAATTTATTTAATATTATGTCAACTGTAAATGGGTACATAAATAAAAAAAAATTAGATGTTTATCAAGTCGAGAACACTTGGTCCCATCGATAACAGATGTTGTACTGCAATCCAGTGGATATGCAATGCACTATTGAGTTTAAATTGAGCAATTGAGAAACGAAATGATAATTAATGAGTAAGCAAAAGCAATATTTCACTTTTTCAAACAAGTTTATCAAGCCCATTTACAGACCAGATATTACTAATAATTTGAACATTTACTGCATTTCACAACACCGGAGTGTTGGCAATACCATTCTGTTGTAAATTACTCGACTGGCATGTCGAAAAATAAAAATAAGTACAAAGAAAACCTTATTCACTAAACGCTTCGACTGCCTTTTTAATGTAATGTTTAGTGGTATTTTGTTTTTTTTTCCTGATTAAATAAAATTAAGTACTTATTTAGTAACCAAAAAAGAAAAAAAAACATGCAGTTATTGCAACGAGTGTAACACGTGTCAGTAGCAATTTGTAAAAGTATTTTTTACCCTGTTATCGTGGCAACAACCCAATATTTTTACATTTCTTTTCATGTACTTATTGTTAGAATAACAATTAAATCACATTATTTAAAAAATCTAATACATTAAATTAATTTAAAAAATCTAACTTTCGACAGTTTTATTTTCAAAAGTACAATTTTCGTTTATTGATTTACTAAAAAAACAAAAAATGTTTACTTACGTATTTTCTTCGAACTAGAAAAACCTACGAACAACAACAGTGACAAAATGAAAGTGTAAGTAGAACTCATTCTGCGCGCACACGCTGCTCAGCACCTGAATGAAAAATGTTCAAAGGACAATACTAAAGCAATGTATATATGCATGAGCTGTGCAGGTTTGTAACGTTAAACGTACTTCGTCCTCTAAAATAATAAAAGTTCATTAACATTATCAGAATCGAAATCTCCTATAAGGCAACCTTGCCACTACGTCGATGACTGCATTATACAGATTCCCGACTAAACTACTTTTATTATTAACTATTAACACACTTAAACTGTGTTATTGGAAGTTAAGGACGCTTCTTGTAAGGTATAAATTATAAGTACAAAGCTTCCGCAAACAATACATGAGACTGATTTATATTGAGGTAGGTCATGCTTGAGGTTGAGATTTTTTTATATTTTTTTCCGGAAGTAATTTCTTTAAAAAGATGACTTGGATTATGGCTTCAACGTATATGTCAAAAGCAATAAAATTATTTATTCAGCGAAAATGTAAAAAAATAAATGCAACTTTTTGCAAGGAAGCGGCAGATTTTTTAAAACTGTTTTCCAGGGTGTCTCAAAATATGTAATCATTTTGAAAGTAGAAAATATATTGTATGTCTATATTTAGAAGCAATTCTATCTAATGTTTTGATTTTTTTTATAAAACAAGCTGTGAAATGTTCAGAAAACATGAACTTTGCAGCACACGGTTGAGAAATACCAAGCAACTTTCAGTAACATTCAAAATGCACGTTTCAGCATTTTTGTACAATGATAAATACCTTGCCCGTTTGCTGTGATAAGCTGAAGTTAGAACAAATTTAAATTCCTTGATTAAAAATGCCGAAGGTTTAATAAATTAAAACAGTAGATCAGAACTGCAGAGTTTCCGGACCATTTACATAAGTTTAATTAATTAGGTAATTTAATTTTAGCAGACCACATTATTTTTCTTGAAAAGATAATTCATGGAAATTATATATTCATCACAAATATAAGCATAAAAATATTCGACCACAATATACTTTTTAAGGACCTTTCCTGAATAAAGTTTCTCTGGTGGTTGTTACGTTAAATAAACTCCGTTTTACCTTAATTATTTAAAGGTTATGCACTTTTAATAGTGCTCTGTTATGTCGATTTTCAAACAATTTACATTTTCTTGTAATGTACCCTTACTGCAACTTAATTTAAGGCTATCATTCGGCTTAAAATAAAAAATCGATGTTAAATGTCACAGTATATATTATTTAAATTTTGTAACATACTCCTACACTTTTGATATATAAATCCCTACTGATTTTTTAACCCAGACGTCCAAGTTTTAGAAAAAGTCAAAATTACATACAAACATTTTAGAATTAAATTCGAAACCGCAGCACTGAATGCTCTGAAATCTTGGGTTATCGCAAGCATAGTAAATAGTTAATCAAATTTTTTTACCCCTCCAAGAAGTAATCACGATTTCTCAAAAGTTTGCTGAATAAATCGTGTCTGAAATGTGCAAAATATTATAAATCCATACTTCTGGTTCATAATTCTTGCATTCATATTTTTTAGAAAGTTTCATCGCTTTTTTTTAATCCTCCCCCCCGTGCAAAATTACAACGTCTACAAACACAACATATAGCAAAATAGTAATTTTCAATATTTAAAAAATTGTCCGGAAATTTGTGTCATAATTATCAAAACAAAATTTTTTATCTCGCTCCATTTGTAAAAAATGTATCAAAATTTTCTTCTAAAGATTTTGTGTCTTGGATATATGGATATGTTACTGGAGCACTGATAAAAGCAGCGACCAAATCATGAGTCATTTAGACGTTTTGTTTACATGGTTGCCATAGAAACCATGCGTCTGGTCGTTGTATTTATCTGAAATCCGGTCCTGCTCGAACAGTGACCACTAGCAGTAACACAGTTGCAGGATTTCATTTCCATTCTACTAAATAATGAATTCAGTTGAATATTTAATAAAAAATTGTCCTCTGTCTTGCGAGGGCAAAATTTTAGTGAAAAATTTAAGGTGAGCACCCCCGATTTATTAATAAAAAAAATGTTCATGACAAAATGAGAGACCTTAATAGATATTTTAACAGACATAACAAATATGGTAAATTTTTGTGGATGTGTGGTTGTGAAAAAAAAATTGTTTTGTTTTGTGTGTCTCCTCAATAATGATTTAAAACCAAAGGTATGTGGACAAGTATTTTTAATTTTATCTATTTTTGCATTTATTTCCGTCACACAATTTCGTCTTTTAATTGGTAATAACAGCCTGTTTAATGTTTTCATATTTACGAGTAACTCATCAATCAAATTGTGCCCCCCCCCCCATTTCAAGAGGTCACAAGCCGCCACTGCTTAGTACCCGTAATGACAGAAGCCTTGCCTGAATACCGCGGTCACTTCCGGATCAGTGATGGGTCCTGATAATCTAAGGATTTGTTTGATTATACTTCAGGGGCCAGAAAAGTTCTATCTAAATAACTTTAACCCAATTTTGTTCATCTTAGTGGTTTTTGTTTGTAAAATTTTCCGCTTTGAAGACTTTGACCGAAAGTTGTTTCGACAGAAATTCCCTCGTTCCTGAAATACAATGATAATTTTTTTTCGAGTCACCCTGTATATGCAAATCCAAAAAATATTAATGGAAGGATAAATCTCAAGTAAATTGGGGTGACGTCATCAATTTTTTAGGGGGGATGAGCAAATACATTTTGATCAAAAATTTACCATGCCTATGATAACTTTAACATCTCCAAGGTTTCAAAGCATTCGGTGTTGTAGTTCCTGATTAAATCAATAAAATAAATTTACGCATTCATTAATCTTTTTGAGTCACCCTGTAGATGAAAATCTAAAAAATATGAATGGAATGTAAATTACAAGTATATGTAGACTCATCGTATTTTGTACATTTTAGATAGGATTTATTCGGCAAACTTTAGATCTGACGTCATCATTTTTTTGGAGGGGATAAGCAAATATATTTTGACTAAAAATTTATTATGGTCTTTATAACCTTAAAACATCTGCAAGATTTCAACGCATTCGGTTTAGTAGATTCAAAATGAAATCACAAAATGTTGTTCTATGATTTTAATTTTTTTTCCAAAATTTTGAACGGTTCGGGTAAAAACTCAATACGGAATCAGAAACTACACGTATAGCACTATATTAATTAATTTGAAACCCATTTACTCAGTACAATTTTGAAGTGACGTCATCACATTATTGGTGGGGATAATTAGACAAATTTTGGTTAGGGTTTTACCATCTACATGATATTCTCAATATAAATACAGACAGACAGACAGACAGACGGACAGACAGACGGAAACGGGGGACCTATTTCTTCGTCCTCTAGGGGTCATGATAGGTCGAGAAAATGCAAAAGTAGAGAGTCGGTCGACGTACTCGATTACAATACTTCCTTTGCTTACGCTCGGGAAGTAAAAATTTGCATATTTGCTGCATTTATTAAAAATCTGGACTAGTTTCCGTCGCAAAAAACAAGCTCTTGATCTTTTTATGGCTGAGTTATTGAAATTTGAAACTTCATTTTATGAAAATGAATTTTTTTGCTGTTTGATTCGTAATAATTTTGGTTAAATTAAATAACTTATAATTTAAGTTCCACACCTTTTGAACCACTGGTTAAAATCATGTTAAACACAATGCTTAATGATTTGTTTTACAAGAATAATTTTAACTACTTCCGAAAAAAATGTTAGAATAAAACAAATAACTTACCGACCTCGGATTTCTACTAAAATTATGATAAAAACGTGAACTAACCTTGGCTTAGGGCTTCGATTTTATCATGGTCACCTTTAACGACGTGCATATTACTGATAAAAAACTGGATGTGATTTATATCCGTTAAAGTACGAAATAAGGATAACAATAACAAATAATGTGGAATCGAGAAATTAAAATACCGTATAACAAATATAATTTGCGAAAGCAATTGCTCATGTTCCAGATTTACAATACAATTAATAAATATCATGCTAAAGCTATTTCACGTTTGACAAGAACAGCAGAGTAAGAAAATATTTTTTCAATAAAATGTGTTTCATTTTTGAACATGAGCATCTCGAATTTTGGGATGAAACTCCTAAATACCAATTTCCATTTTAGAGGTCGGGCATTTTAATCTTTCACTCAATACAAGCAACTGAAATGTGTAAATTACCATTAATTACAGGCGTAGATCTGAAAACATTATTACCGCGAACGTGAATTATTATACAAAATTTTGTACAGTTCTTGAAATACGATACGGTGAAATATGTGATGAACAAAAAAATTGGTCGAAAGTTGTTTGGACAGAACTTCCCTCGCTCCTGAAGTACAATGAAACATATCCAGCGTTTTCAAATTGAGTTTTTTCTTTACACAATTTTTGCAAGGACACGTATTATCAAATTGGATCGGTACAGTGCAATACTAAAAATAACAGTATTGATTTTTCAAAATTTTCTGGGAAAATACAATAAATGGAATGAGCCGTTCCTGATTTAATCAATAAAATAAATTGACTCGTTCATTAATTTTTTTGAGCCATCTGTTTTTAAGCAAATCTAAAAAATATGAATGCAGTGATAAATCACAAGTAAAAACTCATATTTTGCACACTTTGGGTAGAATATATTCGGCAAAATTTTAAGATAATTAATAAACGGATATATTTTGATTAATAAATTTACCATGCTTACAATAACTTTAAAACATCTGCAAGATTTCAAAGTATTCAGTTTAGCAATTTTTTATTTCTTCAGTAAAATAAATTGACTATTCATTCATTTGTTTCAGACACCCTGTATAAGCAAATCTAAAAAATATTAACGCAAAATGATAAATTACAAGTATAGACTGATCATATTTTGCACATTTTAGATAGGATTTATTCAAAGTATTCGGTTTTGCAGATACAAAATTAAATTTCGAAATGTTGTTTTACATTTTTGATTTTTTTTTTCAAAAATCTGGACGTTTCGGGGAAAAACTCAAGACGGCTTCATAAACTACATGAGCATCGCCACGAATTCTCCCATATAAAATGTATTATTGCTTACGGGTTTTGTACACTGCCAAGTCAAAGTGGAGCGAGAAGAATTTTCCATGCAGTCGAAAAATTGAGAAATCCGGAAATAGAAACATAAAATCCGGGACGTCGAAAAATCAAGAGATCGGAAAATTGAGAAATCGGGAAATTAAAAAATCGTAAAAACCTTAAGTATCTAAAAACTGCACAATCGAGAAACCGGGAAAGCAAAAAACCAAAAAAAAAAATTGAATAATCGAAAAATTGGGTCATCGAAAAATCGGAAAATATAAAAAAAAATCGAAAAGTTGAAAATTCGCCAAATCATAATAATAATAATCGTAATATCTAAAAATTGGGAAATTAAAAAATCGAAAATTCGAAGAAAGACCGAAAAATCGAGATATTGAGATTTAAAAATGGAGAAATCGGGGAATAGAAAAATCTTGAGAAAATTAAGAAATTGAAAAATCTAAATCGAGAAACGGAAAAGGCGAAAAACCAAAAAATTAAAAAATCGACAATATCGAAGAATCAAAAAACTTGTATATCTAAAAACCCAAAAATCCTAAAACCGAAAATTCAGAAAATCAAGAAATCGAAAAGATTTAACACTTGACGAATTGTAGAAGCGAACCGAAAATCCTAAATATTTGTGTTTTTTTTTTTCGTTCATCCACGATTTAAAGTTACATCTGTTTGCCTAGTCTGGGGTCAAAATTAAAAATGTGGTATGGTACACAAAAAACAATTACTAGAGCTACTTCTTGTAACTACACAGGTTTTTTTTGTTTATCAACAATGTCAATGCCATTTTCTTATTAATGCAATCTTTATCTGAAGCTTCGAAAAATTTCCACTGTTGAATTTCGGCCCATTAATTATATTTCGCGATGATTCAATTTATTAACAAGTCCAAAAAAGCGTCCTCTGCTAGAGTTTGAATTCAAACAAGTTATTTTTTTCTTCTTCTTTGTTAAGGTCGGAAACTTGTTTGTTGTGTAAATTTTTAAATTCTGGAAACATGCACAGTTACGGCCTCCCAAAAGTGCACGATTTTTCGTTATCATGGACTTTTTTGAATTTTTAAATTAATGTAAGTCTGGCTATTATCAGTGGAGCAGCATTTTTGAATAAACAAAATGTCAAATTTGACAAATTTTGTTATTCGAGCGCCCATGATTTGAAGATACATTTACAATAGAGAAAATTATCGTACACTTTTGGGGGGGCGCAACTGTGTCCACACTATTTCAGGAACATCATATTTTTGTAGCAGGAGAAAATGATGTGTTGAAGCAATTCGTGTTATAATGTTGTGACAATCATTTACTGTTTTAACTTTAATGCTATAATTTCTGTAGTTTTTTGTGTGGAATACTTGCTTTTAATGTTAAAGAAAAATATTCCGCTTTGGCCAACACTCATCGTCGGTGACGGCGGCCGGGCGGCGTTCGCCAAAGAAAAGCCTGGAAGCGAAAGTCGCGAGAGTATTCCCGAAATACCTTAAAGACCTTGATTGCGGAACATCTAGAAAAAAGTATGGATTTAAATAGGGGCCACCCTCGGGAACTAAATTATTCAATCAACGGCTGGAGTCCAGTGGGCGTTGAAGATCCAGTCAAGTTACGCCGAATTATTTTGTACATAATCGCTGTGTAATTAGTCGTGCAAATTTGAGTTACTAGCAAATAAATTGTTGAATTTTACCCACGCCGTAGTATATTACGCAGAGTTTTGGTTTATGGTGCTAAACAATTAATTCGTTTCGCTCTGCTCTGAGGAAATATTTTGGGATATCTGAGTTTTTTTTCTAATTTGTGAAAAAATTCTTCCTCCATGTCTCTGGACAACGAGAATTTTCCAGTGGGTGATTTCAGAGGATGATTTCTGCAGGAATACTTTTTTGGTTATGATATTTGTAATAAATACCCTAAATCAGTTCACCATTTTTTTCCCTTAAATACATATGTTTTTATTAATTTCAAGGCACAATGAAGTTTAAGATATTTTGTGTTCAAACTTTATACATGTTTTGTTAATTTGAAAAAAAAATAAGTTATGTTGGGACTGATTTGAATAAATATACCAATGACATGTTAAAAATCAGGACACGTAGTTATGTTTACTGTACAGTTGACACTTTTTTTGAAACCATCGTGTTATGCAATGTTAAGGTGAAAAAACGTAATTTTTTGACGTGTTACACATTGGCATTACAACCTTCAAAAATTAAAAGAGGAAATTAGATTGGACTTAATATTTCATTACTTTGTTTATTACGGACACTGTTAGTGATAGGATAGAGATCATGGACATATTTACTCAATAATAATCCAAAGGTGTACTTTTTTCATTTCTTGGTAATGCTTAGTCATTAGTATTTATAACAAAACACACACATATTTTATTGTAGATATGCAATTTAAATAAATGGAACTAAAAAACAAAATTTTTCGAGACTTTACAACAACAGAAATGGAATTAATAAGTAGTTTTAAAAAATATTTCACTGCAACACTATTGTATACCTTAAAATTGCAACATAATGCATACGAGCAAAACTGCTTACTTCAAATTCTTAGTTTTTATTATTGTTAGTAAGTGATCACTTGATCAGTGTTGGTATAATTCTTACTCTTCGTGTCGGTTTACCACAATGTGTCATAGAAAACATTTGTTTGTATTAATTTTTCTTACTACTACTTTCAGTTTTATTTCAGCAAAACCAAAGTTACGTAAGTAGTGTATATATACCATGTTCGTGTTAATTTCTCTAACAATGCGTGTTATTTGTTCAGCCTCATTTATAAAAGTATGTCGGCAATCAGATCCACATCTCAACGAGTGCATTAAAAATTCCGTTGAACATTTAAGGCCACTGTTGGCTAAAGGTATACCAGAATTCAATATTCCCAGCTGCGAACCATTGTGTATATCAGAAGTGGTCATTGATCAAGGTTCAGGTGCCGTGGCTATTAGATCAACATATCGAAACATCAAAGTCTACGGACCTTCGCAGTTTGCTCTAAGATATGTTAAGTAGGTGATATCTTTATTTTGGTTTGGAAGATCTAATCTACATTCTTTCAATAATTATTCAAACAAAATTTTCATTTCCTCAATTATGACAATTAAAATATTTTAAAGAGCGAAATATTTGTTATAGAATTGATTTAGAAAGAAACCGAATAAAGATTAAGTTGTGGTTACCGCGCTTGGAACTAACTAGCCGATATACCATGGAAGGACGAATTCTGATGATGCCCATATCGGGGACTGGAACTAGCAGAGGCAACTATAGTAAGATTTTCTTTTTTTATTGGAAGATTAACTCTCTTATGTTAAATACAGAGTTAAAGTTAAATGGAGACTAACTTCTTAAAAAAAAGATACGAGAACATATATGTAATTTGTAAATTTATTTAATAACAATAATAATGTTTTTTCACTGGTCACATCGGCACATATAGGTCAGTTAAAATATTCAACAAAAACTCATATATGTAATTAGGGTAATGATAAGGACAAACACCACATGGAAAATCACACATGCATCTTTTGTAATTAATTGAATTTTTGTAATAATACTCGCCAATCGAAAAAAGGCAACCTCTATTCAGTATCAGTAACTTATTGTTTAAAATGAACATATGTCACGAGTTTATAATTAATTAATTGACTGATTTACAGTGTTTAAAAATAATATAAACAGTATAGGTCCTAAGGTATGTACTACCATGGCGAATCACCACATTTATAGTGAACCCATCACAGACAAACGTGCCTCTAATTGTACGAATTCTGTGTGGATCTTGGAAAACCGAAAGATAATAAAAATAATATTGGTCAAAATTTACAATGGCAATGTGCTCTAGAAGAAAATCAGTTGAAATCTCGATTTTATTTTTGATGCTATGAAGATTAGTATAAGATGCTTATATTTTGACGGCTTTCTAAGTTTGCTTTGTTTGAAACAATTGGTCGAAGGTTATTTCGACAGAACTTCCCTTGCCCTTGAAGTATAAGCTGACAAATCTCGCTTCCTCTAAACATAATACCCCGCAGCCCCTGCGCAGTGGGAGTGTACAATTTTTGTAATTTGCGCTCCCGAGTACGGACAATGTAAAATATATTTATAGCAGATAAAATGTCCTCTCACGACTAATAACAAACTTAACTTCAAGTGTTTATGTTTATACATCGAAAGAATGTCAAGTAGAAATTAGTTTATTTGAATGAGTTTGTCTTCTTAAAACAGAGGACTAAAATTGTTAATTAAGCCACAATCTAAAAAAATGTTCTGAATATTGTAATTCTTATAATTATCATTATTAAATAAAGATGTGCATATTCTCACGTTTTCCAGAAAGTGGGATGACTCGTTCTTAATTTGACCATTAAAAAAATTGTAATAACGTCATTAACATAGAAAATACTAGTCATAGCAGAAAGGGAAACTGGTTAGAGTGCATTACCAATGCAAAAACCACAGCTCGGCCTTCACAAACTGACGAATGTTTATACACCGTGTTGGTAGTACAATGTTAGCTATCATAGCTTGAAAATGTTTTGCAAAAATTTGAACGATTAGTATTTGCGATATAACATTTAATTTATTTTAAAATCGAATTTATTGAGATGACGTTATTAAATTGTTGGTAGGGATGATTACCCAAAATTTGACAACAATTGGTCCAGTAGTTTCAAAGATTACGTGTCTATAAAAATCGATGCAGACACACGGACGAAAACGGTAGATCACTTTTTCGCACTCTACAGGTCATGAAATCTCGAGAAAACATAGAACTGGCAAGTCGCCAGTGGACTCGATTACCTACTACATACTTCCTTAGCTTAACGCTCGGGAATTAAAAAACGGCTGATCAATAACCCACTCAGCCAATTTTCGAGTTTCATTACTTCTTGACTTTCTTTTTTGGTTAACAGTAATATCGAAAGATAAATACTTGTCAGGGAGTATAGATGGGATACATTTTAGTATTTAATCTTATATTTAATTAAATTTTAACTTCAACCTATGGACAAAAGTCCGTGATGTTGTTGAAGGTCGATACAAATATAAAATTTCTTGGGAACAACATGCCTGGCGTTGTTGTTAGATTTGTTCCAAAGTTTACAGAATTTCTACATTCCTATTTTCTTTTCTTTGTTTCTTAAATTAGGATCCTGCTTTGGCTTTTGGTTGTTTATGATATCATTATTATTTTCATTATTTAAAATAAATTGGTTGTCGTTATTAGCAGTTTTTTGGATCAACTTGTTATTGTTTTTATCCACTTATATTATATATATTATATACTTCTAATTTTAACGCATCCGGTTATTCAGACTGCAGTCAGTGCTGCAGTGTAGAATTATTTTTTTGATCGACATTTCACTATTGTACCGCTGTTTTGCAAACCACATTTAAGTATAACTTAATGCCCTGAACTACAGTAACAAATCCCGGTTTTTTGAAAAATTACGAAATTAGATTTTGCGGTGTTCTACTTTTTATGATACTTTCTATAAAGTAAGAAAGAAATACCTGTGACATTGTAAAAAAGATAAGCCACCGAGACCCTACGTATTCAGCGTTGCTTATGAAAGGTTATTGTTATTATACAATTTGATTTTTTTTTACAAAACTTTGGACACCTAAGGAAAAACTCAAGGCAGATTCATAAACCATAAGTTTGAAGTATATGTATTATTTTATAAAATTTAAATAATGATTAATATACGACTTTTTGAGGGGATGTCATCAAATTGTTGATGAGAATGATTAAACAAATTTTACTTAGAGTTCTACTCCATATAACATACATCTTCTAAAATCGGTTCGGTAAATCGGTAACTATTCGCCAGATTAGTAGTATATTTGGCACTATATGCTAACTTTTATAATATAGAGTTTTTGAAAGAGTTAAAACTTTTGGGAACTCCAATTGTATGCCTACCAATATTTTTAAATAGTAGAGCCAACCTTGGTAATTTCGCAAAATTTGTATAGTGTGATTCGGCCTAAATGACGAATATGATTTGTGGTTAGCGGCAATCCAAAATACTTTATTCATTTATTCCTTGATTCACACTAGAATTTCAAAAATATCACAACTCCACGAAGTTTGTGGTTTTAAAAACGTCCAAACAGTGTCACTGTCACGCGTTCCAATTAAAACAAAAGTTAATGGAAATAATTCTCTGAAAATGAGTTTCACGAATACATCGTGGATTTTCTTGCGCGGAATAATGTAAATTATGTTCCTTTACATTATAATTGATGGAAAATTTGGCCTTATCACTAACTAAAATAATCCTGAAAAAATTGGGATGATTTAGAGCTGTTCCTGAACAAAATTATAGATTGCGAATCTTCGTGGAAAGTCAATCTCTCGTAGTTGATGAACTAACTGCGTGTGATACGGGTGGAATTTGTTAGCCTTTAGCATTCGACAAACAGAAGATTGTCAGGATTTTCTAAATCAGTCTCTAAAATTCAGATTTCGTTGTCTAAAACAGTTCCCCGATTCGTAATTTCATTTCAAGTCTTTTGAAAATTTGAGCTGTTGCATGTCATCGTTCGGGATATCTTTGGGCGTACAAATTTGCCGCCACTAGGGAATATTTTGACATTCTCCATAAATTAAAATCATCTTCGTTTTCTCAGTATTACTAAACGAATATCTTGACATTTTCGCAACTAATTTTCAAGTACTCAAAATTAACAGTGATATAATAAAAGTGCAAACTTGAATTCATGATATTTTTGAATTTCTACTATGAATCAAGGAATGGAATAATAATGCGTTTGAAAATAGAGCAAAATGTCATTACGAAAATTTTGTCATAGTGTCACTGAAAAATTTTAGTTTTTAGTTTTTTCAGATTTCTTTTACTGACACACTAAATCATCTGCAAATATCACTCTTCAGAAAAGTCAACTTTAGGAAAACTAAAAAAACAATGTTAATTAGTTTTCGTACAATTCCACATTTTATGAAGTTTTAATATATGTACATAAGACATAAGTGTAGATATGTATTTTCATTATGCGTAGTTATTATTCTGGCTAAAATTAGAAGATTAGAAATGTTGATATATGGATTATTAATTACTGGGCTTTGAAATGATGAAGATAAAAGAACAAAAAATTGACAAAAACACGCCATTTAATTAATATATAAACTAAATAAATTGAAATACACCCAGTCAAATCTATTGACTTATGCTTTTTGTGATTTTATCTTACCCCTGTTTAAGTGCCGAACTTGCTTCAGTTTGGAAAATTTTCTAAAGATTTGAATTTCTAAACGAAAATAAACGGAATGAAAATCATGCAGCGACTACTTTTAATTCGTTACATTCACTTATTCACTAGACCACTTAATTTTAACAAACCAAAAAGAGTACGTGTGAATAAAACTGAATCATTCGAATTAATGACTGCCAATGATAATAAAAACGAAAAACTGACAAATATGAAATAAGACAACAACAGACTTATTTGTATTTTCTACACTATCTAATTTAGGTTATGTCCCACATTTTATTAATGAAAACACTGGGATATCGAGCAAATACATATGTATTTAATTTCTTTTTTTTAAATCTGCACCCTACAAAGAACTACTACTACATATATTTTTCAAAAAACGACGATGTAAAAAATTCTGGCATATGGCATTTTAATAAGCAACATTACACAGTTTTATTTCAAATAAAAAGCTGTTCATAATAAGGATCTATTATAATAAACAGTAAATTGTTTAAAAATGTAAAAAACTGGGTTTTCAGCAAACATAATGTTCATAATTATTATTGCCCCAAAAATAAACAGACGAGAAAGTGTAGTTATTATTATACATACCTACTGTTTAACACGCAGCATCTTTACCAAATTTAATGTGAAACTGATTGCTTGAAAAATTAATTTTCGAAAGTGACATATTTAGTTTTTTCCAGATAATTTTCAAACTCATAAATTTATTTGATTCATATCTTTAGTAGTACTCCAATTGGCAATTAACTATGAGAAAAATTCACCTCCATCTATTTAATATATCATCTCTTATAACAATATTATCATTTCACTCCACTCTAAGTTGCTTAACTAGAAATTTAATTCTCTTTGATTTTTGCCCATCAGTAGTATTTACCCAGTGTAGTAAACATAACAAAATCAGTTTTTTGAATATTAAGGAACAAACAGTTTTGGTTGAAGATATTGATTAAATAAAAAATATATATTCTCTGCCATTTCAACAACCTGTTTTGATTGTTTCAATAACAAATTAAGGTGACATCGATGTCATTATATTCCTGTAAATAAACATTTGATGTCGATACTCTTTAAAATTTATAATGGAATATTCTGCACCGCAATTTATTCTTGTTTATTTTTTCAAAGAACTTGTTTAGCATGCCAGGATTTTTTTTATAGTAATGCTATGTTTATCAGTTGACTTTGACAGGGTTTTTAGTGTACTATTAAATAAACTACTTTATCAGTTCTTTCCTACAAATACACTAACACAATTGATGTTAAACACAGCGTTGATAAATATACATAATTCACTACCTATCCTTATCTGTAATTTCAGCTAACATAGACGCAACGGTTATCATGCAAGGACAAAAAATTAGAAAGGAAAACGAAACCTATTTCAACGTCAAAGATTTTTATATAGATTTTAACATTGGACACGCCACAATACAGCTTGATGATCTTTTTAATGGAGACAAAGAACTGGGTAAGATTTCCATATAATTATGTATGTTGTTTGAAAAACTTTTTATTCATTGTTTCTTTTGAATAAATTATGATGCAATATTGATTTTATATTATACATTTATTATGTTTATGTACACATTTTAGCCATTTAAATAATTTTAAGCTTAAAATATTGAACTCATTATTTATTTTTTTACGTTACAGGTGAAGCAATGAATCTGTTCTTGAACGACAACTGGAAGAATGTTGCTAACGAAATCAAACCTGTGCTAGAAGACACAATAGCTAATATATTCAAGAAATTTTCCAATAAGATTTATCATAAATATCCCTTAAATTTATTATTGCCCAAATAGTTGTTAAAAATAGATTTCTATATTTATTTCTATATTTATCTTTGTATTTATTATATAAAGTTGTAATGTGCAAGGTTTTCTTTTTATGAGTTATGAAGAAAGTGTAATCACAGATTTCTTAAACAGGGTAACAAATATTTTAATCTTTTGTATTTGCCTGATGCAGCCTTGTCGTAATATATTTTATTCGTAGTTATGCAATAATACACCAACTTCTTCTGATAATGGGAGAAAGTAAAACGCAAACTCAGGAAACATACATATAAACGACACCTACAAGGCTGAATTTGCAGAAAATCATTTTCTCGGTAATATACTACAATTAGGTTACAGTGAAGCTATAGTCAATGATATCTATTTATTACGATAATAGTTAAAAAACTTACGCACCATAAAAATTTTTAAACTGTGTTTAAACAACTACAAAATAAATGGTACCCACACGAGCTTTTCCAATAATTACACTACAATTGTAAATTAATAATTTCTTACTAATAATGTACGTAATACGTAATATGGCGCATTCCTTCCAAGAGAAATGTCTTGTCTCTACTTTCACCTGACGAGTGACGCAATATCTACCTTAAAGATAAAGGTAAAAAGTATCATATTGGCTTGTTCTACAAGAATTCTATTTTAGGATAGGATGGGGTGAAGTAAATTTGCGTTACTAAGTCCGAAATTACCAGCTCATTCGTTTATGGGTTTTTGTGATCAGCAACAGGGTTTCCGAATTAATTAGTTTTAAAAATGTATCGTTGCTACATATTTGCGTTGATTTTGTGTTACTTTAATTCTAAAACATACGGTTATCAAGTAAAGGATGCACCTCTTCTTAAAACACGACGTAAGTAGGTTTAGATATGTAAGTTGGTAAATTTTAAGTCACTAAAGTTTTAAGTGTTTGTTACTTTCAGCTAATTTTATATTTTTAATAGATTTTAACTGTAGTTGAGGTTCTTTCAAACAAATATGGGACTAGAAATATTAAAAGTCTTTTAATCTGAAATACTGAATTGAGCTTGCATTTAAGGTAGTATTTCTTGTTCGTCAATTAATTTAATAGAACGTCATACCTTGAACTTTATGCGGATGAAAGATCATATGAATTTGTTCAGGTCGAATGTGAACATGTTTTACCATTGAGCTTTAAGTGAAGTGCAAAAGTCTGAAGTACAGAAATGAAGCATTAACCAGAACTGACTCACAATTCCTCAGGGTTAAACTAGTTGTAGTACTAAGAGCAATGATTAAAAATATAAAAAAAAAATAAAAGTCGATTTAACTTCTGTATAAAACAAGCAGAGAATAAATACGCATGAGTAATGTTTTATGTATTTATTAATTTTGTGCATAAGGACGCTGTAGTTTCGAAAAAATAAACATTGCTTTTCACGTGTACATTATTCTTAATACATGTTTCCAAAATTTCATAAAAAATTTTAGGAACAATAAAATTTAGGCATTAATTTTTCCTTTTTATTCAGACACGTTGTGATTAATGTAGTAATTAATAATAAAGGCTGTTATAACCAAAGAATATAAAAATGTATTTCAGTTTGTCATTTGTGATCATTTTTTTTTATTTTTGACAGAGCTTCATTTTTTGATTGGTGTAATATGTCAATAAAAATATTACAAACTTTTTTTAAGTTTTATATATTAATTATAACTTACAACGCGTTAAGGATCAATTTCATGAAAGTTTGTTCACTATAGCATCAAGAAACTATTTTTGTCATAAAACAGTCGTTAATTATGATCAAATAATATAATATAGTCGCTACATTAGTTATTCCCTGTATAACGATATAAAAAAGTTTTTTTGATTTTGACTGTTGAATTTACAGATCGAACGTATTTTGTGAAACTATATAGTCATGCCTTAAATGTTTACTAACTTGAACTCAGCATCAAGTGAAAGAAATTTACATAACCAGGGTCTCTGAAGTACCTTTAAATCAAGTATAAAAGAAAATTTTAGCAGGTCGTAAATGCAAGCACTTTCAAAAGCCAAACACAGAATTATTCTTCACGCCCACAGAACAGCAGATTTAAATATAAATCGTATCAAAAAAAAAAACAGCTACCTACAACAATTTTTAAAGATTAATTTATTACATAATCCAAGACAGTTTGCCTAACCGTATATGTGACGTTATTTCCGATTAAAGCGGAACTGACAAAAAAATTTAACTAGCTTCGGGCATCACATTCTTTTACATAAAAAATCCCATCCTACTTCTGCTTTTTACATATGAACGATATGATGTAACTGAATATTTTAATGATAATAACTTCTTTATATGTTTAAGTTTATATTGTTGTTGTTTGTTCGGTTGCTGTTAGAAGTACTTAAGGAAAAGAGTACAGTATAATTTCTTCCTACTTTCTAATTCAAATATTGACTCTTAAATAAAAAAATTTTAAATGCATTATTCTTAACAAACTCTACAGTTTTCTCCTCGCTTATTGTATTTTACAGTATGTTCATGAAAATTCCAATTTTTTAATGAAATTCTATAGACAAAATTAAACACGAAACACATTTGGTTTTAATGTGACAATCGACAAATTTTTTTCTCACACCGAAAACCGTTCTTCAATTGTTTTCTTTAGGCGTTTAAAAAATATAGGAATTTAATACTCACTTTTATAATCTGTTGTCAAATTACTCTAACCTTTTTACAAAAAAAAAAACACTGCATATTAAACAGAATTTGATGAGACTGACTTTTCTATAATTGTAATAAAGAAATTATAATAAATTTTTTTATTTGGGCATTCACCAGCTTATCATAAATAGTGTATATAAGCAAATTTACTGCTTTTTTGCAAAATGCTTATTTAATAATCGATATAACTCTTTTTTTATCCGTAAGTAACAACTTGTGGAAAAACACTTTAATGAACTGTAACTAGTACAGCTGAAAGTAAACAATAATCATATTAATCAAATATAATTATTGGAAACTGAACTTTCAGACTAATTAACTATAATCTGTCCTACAAGACTACCATAAGTGAAACTAAAATTTTGCAAAAAATTTTTCCTTACTTTAACAAATTTCAAAAGATTTGAAAAATAATTACTTTTGATCAGAGTACTGACTGTGTTTTCAAGGATCAGTTTACTTTACATTTTGCTGTGATAGAGCACGACTGTTTTAAACTTTTTTTGTTACTTAGGAAACAATATATTTTTATGGGGTTTGCCGTCTACAAAGAAAAATAGCAAAAAACTTAACCTCAGTGGACTACTCAATATAATTTGACATATTCCGACATTTCTATTTGTAGACTGTTAATTATTTGAAAACAACCGAACAATTCATACAAAGTGTTAACGCTTCTAATACTTTTAATGGTGACTAAATATTTAATTTTTGTATCTATAGGTATACGACTCGGAGTTGTTGAAAAATGAGTTATGTAACAAACATTCTGTGATATTATGCAATCTTTTTTGTCGCTTTGTAAACTTTGAATTATCAGTCACCAAAATAAGACAACATAATTTTAACAAGAAAATTACTTCGAAAAGCACTTATTTTTGTTTAAAGGTTACTCAAGGAAAAAATATTGTCTTTACAAATGTTAGTGCTATGTAACTATAAATTATGTACATTATATGTATTTTTTTAACTAAATCACATCTTTTTTCAGCTCCATGGTTAATCGCATGCCGAAGATCGGATCCAGAACTAAACAAATGTCTGAATGACTTATTTGCGAAAATGTTTCCAGAATTAGCGAAAGGTAATTTAAGTCTTTTTGAACATGAACACAACTATGTGTTTAATTATTTTTTCTTCTAAGAATCAAACAAATACAACTTGATATGCAGTCATCAGTTACATACAATAATAATAATTCATAATGCGGGTTGCTATTGCTCACAATAATCTAACAGATAAAAAATAAATAATTAATGTGTTGTCTTGTCATAAAGTGGTTGATGATCAAATAAACAAGTACATGGATATTTTCCATTACCTATACGGATATGTATTATTCCATAGCTTAATATTTATGTTGACATAAATGAAATTTATTGTCATCTGTGGTAACTACAGATTACAAAGTAATGTTATAACAACGACACTTCCAAACTAACATCAAAAATCTGTTTAGGTATTCCTGAAATGAATGTGGATCCCTTCGAACCCTTGCCCTTGGACAAAGTTACTGTTAGCAAAGGAGCTGGTCCAATTACACTTACTGGTGGGTTGTTTAACTTAGTTGTTGCCGGACCGTCAAACTCAACACCAACTTATACTGAGTAAAAACTTTCTGTTAAATCATAATAAAAAGTAAGAACTTTCTTCAAATTTTAGGTTCGACATTCCAAATAAAAAATGGAACTTTGGTTTAAATTTACCATTACTGAACATCAAGTCGCAATACAACCTCAAGGGTAAAATTTTGGTTCTTCCTTTGGTAGGTCATGGTCCTTGTGATTTGAGACTAACAGACGTACAAAGCAATGTTAAGGCAGACATGAAATTTCTTTCAGTCGAAGGTCGTGAAGTTGTGAAAATAGAAAATATGCATGTTGCGTTCACTGTAGGAGGAATGAAGGTGAAGCTGCATAATCTGTTTAATGGAAATAAAGTTTTAGGTCAGGTTCTAAAAATTACTACAGTGAGCTTGAATTGTTTCTGTTTTTTTTAGGACAAACAGTGAATCAGTTTATGAATCAAAACGCTGTAGAAATTATTGGAGAATTGTCAGACAGTATTGGGGAAAGTTTGGCAGGCATCTTTACAGATGTTATGAACAATATTTATACAAAAATCCCCATGGATCTTTGGCTATTAAGCGACGAAGATTATGAAAAATATCAGAAAGAACTCAAGACTACGTAGCATTTGATCTCAACAAATTAAACACACTTAATACTTTGTAGTGACGTTTTAGTTACACCACTTTCATTTGTGAATTTGTAATAACAAACTTAGGAAATTAGTTGTTTATTCGGAAAAGAATTGTTAACGTTTATATCTTTACGAATATTCCATTTATCTTTAATAAACTGTTCAAAAATAACTATTATCTTGTCTTTGTATACATTTACCTATTATATTACGGTTTTTTTTAATTCTATGCTCTTCCGCTTTTTTTAAAGTGTTTGCTTTTTTGAGATTAATGTGCAATGATAATAATCCAGAAAAAATGAACTAGGAGAAATTTGTTCTTCAACATTGTGAAGGTAACTACCTAGATATAAAAGAAATCTGACATACTTTAAACATTCCTAGTTTTTTCAACATGACTTTCTTCAAGGGAGTGACATTTTATATCACAGTTTCTTCGAATGAAAAAAACCGGAAGCTCTGCAACATGAGGCTACAGATAATATGGTCTCACCGAATAATCTTATTTGTATCATGGACATCAAATAATCGAGTGTATTTACTTGACAAAGTTCTTGTCGAAGATGTTGTTTCACGATATCCGATTGTTCAGAGGTCAATGATATTGATAACCCATCAAAGTTAACAAAATTGGTACCTCGTGCTCGCAGGATAATTATGTCAAATGTAAACCCCTATCTGTTCCGCATGTACTGTATATCTTAAGAATCTTATACAAATTTTTGGTTTGAGTAATGTACTAGACACCACTGTCATGAGTGCCAGCATTCGGAACAAGAAAAATAAGCATGTTCTAAGTTTTCGACGAGAAATATAGAACTCCAAATGCATCGATCTCTTTACTAGCCCCTATGGTCGAAGCATATAACAACACAAGCTATATATATAAGGATCTGGGAGTGACCTTTGACTGTGAATTAAACTTTCGTGAACACGTAAATACAATTGTGTCCTCCGCCTTCAAATGTTTGGGTTTTGTTACAAGAAATGCAAAACATTTCTCTGATGTTAATGTTTTCATCTTATTATATAAGACTTTTGTTCGTCCAAAGATGGAATACGCGAGTGTCGTGTGGTCACCTAATTATAATATACACATAAGATCACTTGAGAAAGTGCAACGTCGTTTTGCTAAATCTGCATTATTCTTGATGGACGGTGTTTATCCACCTCGAGGTTACCCAGAAGATTTACTTCTTAAACGTATAAACCTCCCATTTCTGTCTTGCAGGCGATCGTATTTTTCTGTAATTTTCTTATTTAAATTAATTCACTACCTAATCGATAGTCCAGAGCTACTAAATAATATAAACTTTGCAGTTCCAGCATTTAATAAAAGGCTTCATAATATTTTCTTTATATCAAAGTTCAAAACGAACATTCTATCAAACTCTCCTATCTATCGAATGATTACAAATTACGAAAATATTGAACACGCTGTAGATATTTTTAGATTAAATTCCTTCAATAGGATTCGTGAACACTTCTTGCTGTGTTAGTTACATTGAATTCTTTCACCAATTTTCTTGTTTGTTAATATTCATTACTTCTAACCTTGCCCTGTAAATGGAATTTTCTCCGTTGGGCAATTTAATTAAATAATAATAATAATAATAATAATTTTTTTTTTGATTTTGGTGACGTATGTTTCAAGTACAAAGTCAATACGCATTTTACCAACGTTGTCCTACTGCACTTATACCACAACAGACATTAGATTTAAACACTACCTCTTCGATTACTTAGTCACTAAAAGCCAGCTGCCTCTAATGTTAATTTAGACGATTCAACACCTTTAGATCTCTCAGCTGATTCAGTTGACAAAATGTCAAGAACTTAGGAAAAAACAAAAAAACCTGAGATTCAAGTGAAAGCCTGTCTCCTACTTATCCGAACTATGGGCTCCGGTAAAAGCTACGCTATAGAATTAATATCCTTTGACATATACAGAAACTGTGGAATTTATTGAAAAAGCCACTGGAAGCCCGACATTTTAGGGTTGGTCTATAAACTTATTAATATATGACTTCAAGGGCATGCCTACAATGTCACACGGATATATAAAAAAGTACAAAAAAGGTCTAAAAACAACGTACTGTTTTTATGGAAAAGGATAGCCAATTCGTAAAAGATGATCATGATCTTGCAGTGGATACGGAAGTTTTAAATACGGGACATTTTTCTATATTTTATGTCACTTCATTAATATATGAAAATATTGCATCTTTATTAGCCAAAAACGATGATCTCGTTGTAGTTTTAAATGATATTGTTGCATTGATCAACAATTTATTTCTCAGTAATATTATTTACACGGTTGACTATGCAGCGATTATGTACAGAATAATTCCAACTGGAATGGATTTGACTAGACCCAAATTCTCTCAACATTGACGGAGAAGTTGAGTCATTGACACAATGAATCGTTCCTGAAGGTGGCCTCTATTTAAAACCATATTTCATTTCTAGATATTCCGCGATCGAGGTTTTTCTGGAGTACCCATCGTACACTTGTGAGCATTGAAATCGGACCACAAAATCGGGTCACTATTCACATCTGACTTTGAATCAAATTTTTCACCGAACTATATTACACTTAAAGAAAATAAAAAAGCCATTAGAAAGACCAGATGTTTGTCTTGAAAACAGAGTTACGAAAAACATAAAATTGTTTACAATATTCTTTTTTGGGCGAAAAAGAAAATTATTCAATAACGAAATTTTGTATGTTAACTAAATCAACAATTTAAAAAAAAATAAAAAACGAAAATGATGTTAATATTCGATGTTGCCACCTCTAGCTCTAATAACCGCCCGCATTCATTTATTCATGGACTCAATTAAGGTGACGACAACTTAGCCCATTCTTCGTCAGTGGCTATTCTGAGCTCTTGAAGTGACCCAGGAGCCGGGATCCTATCTCTAATTCTTCGTTTAAGTTCATCCCACAGATATTCTATAGGATTCATATAGATATAGATATACATTTCGAATAATTTGCATTCAAAGTTAGATTTGAATAGTGGTCCGATTTTAATTCTCGCAAGTTTACTTCCACTTCCAGGCTTTTCTTTAGCGAACGCTGCCCAGCCGCCATCACCGACGATGAGTCATCCAACAACGCCGTACATACTAGAAAGCCCTCCAGAGAACCCATAGACGTCGTACCGGGGCGGCGTATGGGTTTATTTCGTAACAATATTAAGCTAAAATTTGTATTGTTGATTGATACATGACTACCTGGTGATATATTGGACGCATGAGTTTCTCCATATGAAGAGAACATTCTCAGGAAATACAGAATTGATAGCAGAGGTGGGGGTGTGTGTATATTTATTTATATAGAATAATTCAGGGAACCTCATCAATACTTGATCTCATTTTAACATCAGACGACAATTCTATTAGTACTTAGTATTGAGATCCGATTGGCAAATTTTATCACATTTTAATAAAAACCGAACCACAAATTTATTTCACATCTTTCAATCGTATTACAGTGTTTTAGAAATTCACCACCGACTAGACAAGGGTTAAAACTGAGATTGCTGTCATTGATTGAAATTAAGCTTATGATCGGTCTTCCATGGCTGACAACTGGTTTGTATACAAAATCGATTATACGATATTGTTTCCAAGAATTTTTACGTTGTTACAAAACAACTACAACGAATTAATTTCTGATTACAAAAATTCAAACTTCTTTTAGGAACACTAATAACGAGTGCTGTTAAAATATGTCGAATAAAGGATGAGAATGGTCATCTTCTTGACGATTGTCACACTGTTACCAATACGTTTGCCGACAGTTTCTTTCAATTTTTCGCGACTGAACCACCTATTGACAATTTATAGTTATTTAATAAACTAGTTTGTTAATGAAGGCGATTAATAATCGACACTGTTTAAAGCACGAACGAGCGTAGCGAGTGAGTGCCTTTAAAAGTGGAGATTATTAATCGCCCATTAACAAACGAGTTTATTACAACATTTTTTCGTTGACCACAAACTTGCCCATTCTTGTGTGTTTTAATTTTGAACAGTTAACATATGTAGTTCCACAAACTTGCCCATTCTTGTGTGTTTAAATTTTGGACAGTTAACATAGTTATCATTGGAAAAAAAAAATGACAAGCGAATCACAAACGTTGACATTCATCTCAAGTCTTTATGATGCTGAGCTTTTATAACGTGAACTTATGAAAATCGTGGAATGGTGCCATCAACATAGACTTATTTATTAATATTAGTAAATGTTGCTACATTTCATATTGTCGAAAACTTAATATCGTTGATTTTTCTTATTCAATAGAAGGTACACTATTAGAACGAAAAACATCGATCAAAGATCTTGGAGTTACTTTTGATAGCTGCTTGACTTTTGATATTCACCTTACCAACATTTGCAATGCTGCAAATAAATCTTTGGGGTTTGTCATGAGAACTTCAAAATTTTTCAACAACATTGACGTAATTAAATCCCTCTTCTTTGAATATGTTCTTTCGAAATTAGAGTATGCCTCACTAATATGGTATCCCATATACATGTCTCAGCACATGCTTCTTGATAAAGTCCACAGGAAATTCTTGAAATTCCTTTCATTCAAAATTGATGGTAATTATCCGGCCAGAGGTATTGAGATGGAAAGTCTTCTCCAACGGCACAAGATATCCTCTTTCATAGTTCGAAGGGATCTGCATGCGGCTAACTTCTTGTGTAAGCTTATTCACAACAAAATTGATTGCCCATATTTATTATCACAGATTAGACTTAATGTCCCTCGGCCAGCATCGAGATATGTTAACATCTTTCATATCTCCACCGCTCGAACTAATATCCTTCGTCGTTCGCTAATTACCACAATGTGTCGATGTGCAGATAGATATGTAGCTGATATATTTTATTCAAATTAGTTTATACTTGGAATTATGTTTTTGTTATTTTTATAATTTTTGTGTTGGTTATTCATGAAAATAATTATTATTATTATAGGGTAACCTGTTGGACAATAAATTATTATTATTATTATTATTACGTCTTATAAATTCACAACGCTATCTTTTTTTTAATTTTTGTTTAAAAGCGACAAGTTAGTCACACACAAAATTAGTAATAAAATCTTAGATTTTCACAGGATATGCGTATTACAAGCTGTGTACATGCAGGGGTTT